GAATTAGACTCATTATACCAAAAACCAAACATCGTGGAAGCAATAAGAACTAAGAGACTAAAATGGGCAAGACACGATTGGAGAAACTAAAACCCACTACTCCGTACAGTACTGGAAAAAAGACCCATTGGAAGACCGAGAATGAGATGGGAAGATATAGTAAAAAATGATGTGGCAGAGCTAGAAGGAGGAAATGATTGGAAGATGTGAGCAGCTGACCGAGATGGATGGAAGCCTGGATGTATGTTAAGATGGTCTTAGAGGTCGCTAACATCCAAAAAAAAAAAAAATTAATATATAAAAGTTGGTCCTTATTGTTAGAAAAGTATGTTATGAGTTATGACGTAAATCACGTAAATGAATCGTGTCTTGGCTTGTAAATAAATTGATGATGGTCTGGATCATATATTGATATGACCACGTGAATGTCTAATGAGTAGAAGCCATTGACCAAAAGAATAGATAATTAAAAAATTGATATTTTTCATATTATTTTTATTCAGAACACGTTTTATTTTCTTTATTAAACTGTCTCCTGTGTATAATCATAATTATTAATAACTCGTTAATTTCTTATGAAATTTCTAGCACAATATTTCAGTAGTTTAAATAAGAATAAATTTACATGTACACATATTGATTAATTTACCATGATAAACATGACTTGTAGTGGGATAAATGAGTTCCTCGCTAATAAATGTTAAAAACAAAAAATAAAAATACAAACAAAATATAAATTTATTTCATAATTATAATAAGATAATAATATTAATATTAATTCCTATAAAAGATGAACTTTATAAATAAAACTATAACCATAGTTTACAAATTGAGATTTTTTTATTAAGTAATTTAATAAAAAAATTTTATGACAAAGAAAATTTATTTAGGGTTTTGAAAAATATTTTTTTTTGAGATTTAAAGGTATATTAATTAAACATCGTTGGATTTAGTTAATCTATGTTTATCAAAATCTATTTTTGTGTACCAAATGTTAATGTCACACATATGATTTAATTTCACGTGTGTTAAAAACTTGCTTACTTTTTAATTTATTTATATATTATTAATATATTTACTTGTATAATTTTACTCGCGAATTGCTTGTATAGGGATCTGTAGGGATTTGGAATTACTTAAATTTTATTCAGTTTTTTGTGGTGGAACCAATTAAATCTTTTTTTATTTAAACATATTCGAACCATTAGATTTTTTTGAACTTCTAAAGTTCTCACTAAATTATTTGCACTCTCCTCAGTCTTTTAAACCATGCTGTAAAATATATCTATATTATATTTGATAAATGATATGCATTATTTCAACAAGTAAATTGTATTTTATTTGTACATCTTAAAAATAATTGATCTTAAACGCATAATTAAATGATTAATATTTTAATTCCACCGTAGATGACAATCTAAAATCAAACCCAAATACTTAACTCTATTTACTCTTTCTATTTTCTGAAAGTCATGATAAATATAACTAATTCTATTGCATGAATGAATTTTTGTTTAATTTTTTGGTTTAATGGATATATGTCTGACAATAAATACGAAAAAACAGTTATATTTATATTCAGTGACAGTTTTTTGCCATTAAACTCAATATATACTTTATTGATCTCAAGTTCTCTTTTTTGTACACTTTCACACGAGTGGCTAGAAAAAAGGAGACGTATCATCTGCATATATGACTATTAATCCATCCACATTTAAATCACATAATATGTATTACCACATTATATGATTTTGTAAAAAATAAACAAAACAGGCCCTAACACATTACCTTGAGGTCCATAAACCAAAACGAATTAGTTTTTTATTGCTGAGTACACCCAGTGACGGTGCTAGAGTTTGCGAGACCCTGGGCAAAATTAATGTTGGGTCTTATAATTTATATTAATAAAATATTTTAAGTTCAGTTAAATCAGAACCATTGGGCCTTAATTATAATTTAAGGTGCGGGGCCCTGGGCAACTGCCCCTATTGCCCACCCCTTCGTACCATCCCTGAGTACACCTTTTACAATTACCATTTGTTTCCTGCTATCCTAAGAAATTTTAAACGATTGGAGATTTTAATTTATTTTACTATAATTTGGTAATATTTTTATTAGTTCGTTGTCATCAATAGTATTAAACGTTTTTGCTATATTTAAAAAAATCGCAATTATTTTCTCATTGCCATCCATTTTTTAATTTTATAATTTTGAAAATTCATCTCATTGATTTTTGTTTAGATTTTTAAATAGCATTAATTATTTTCCTCTAGAAAATACCATCACACTCATTTATATAAGTTGTATTATACACAGCAGATCAATTTTCTTTTTTTAAAATATCACTCACCAGACAGTAGGTAGTCTATATTTTTAAAATTTAGAGAGTTACTATTGCAGACAAAATTGACTTTCTATACAGCTATAACAGTGGACAAATTGTCAATTATCTCTGAATAATATTTGCTTTAATTTATTTTAATTTAGATTCTAAGATTCTAATAAAATTATGGTCTTAATAAGAGTAAACACCTTAATACGGCCTCATAGTATCTACATATATTTATCTTCATAAATATATACTCACGTAGGTTACCCCAGCTCCCTAATTTTTAATTTTGCAATTTTTTTTTTTGCGTCAATATTTTTTGCGTGCATAGGGGGATATACCCCCATCATGAGCTTTTTTTTTCTTAGTCTTAAAGTTTAAAAACGTATTTAAGAAATACGACGGTAGTCACGGTTAAATGGACTGGTGTTAATGAACATAAATCGAAACATTCCATTATTTACAGCCGTGGTTCTCAACCGGTGTGTCGCGACACACTAGCATGTCACGTAATACTGTGGAGTGAGTCGCCAAAATATTATTCATTAAAACTATAAGCTTTCAAAGTATGAACGTATATTATAACGGAACTATGATGAAATAATAAAAGCCACATATAAAAAAAAATTATAATGATATTCTTATTGATTCTTATTTATTAGAAATATCATCAATTATAACGTTAAAATCTCAAAGTGATTCATTTCGGATTCCTCTATAAATCAAATACACAGGAATAATAAGAATTTAAAATTTTGTTTTTTTTGTTCCTCATACATGTCTGAATCAGCATATTCGATATTGGAAATAACAAAAAGCAAAAAAGATTTTAAGAGTAAATTACGCGAAACTTTGTCAACCATTTACCCACGAATCAAAAACCTATATAGGCCTGGATTTTTATTAACTAATACTGTTTTTCATAATAATTTCTTTGAACTTTTAAAATTTTTATTAAGAAAATTGAAACTTTTTTTTTAAGTTTTAATTTTTTAAATAAGATTCCATTAATTATTTCAAATGTGTCGCCATTTTTATAGATATAAATTAGGATGTCGTCATGCAGAAAAGATTGAGAACCACTGATCTACAGTACAAATAATTAACGAATTTAGTGTAAAAGCCAGAACGATGAATTTCGTCCTCGATTACATTTTTTTTTTTTTTGTATAATAATAAAGAATAAAGATTGAAAATAATACATTTTTATTTATGACACCCCCACCCCCACCATACCAAATTCCTGCATACGCCACAATTAAATTTTAGAAAATAACTTTAACTGTGTATTATTGTAAATTTTCTTATAAATCGTAAACAGGATAAAATTGTAATAAGTGTTTTAGAATGATACAAAAAAACATGCCTATAAAAAATAAACATAAACAATAAAGGTACCTACCATCTGCATTTTTATATTATTATTATAAGATACGTTCTAATGTTGTAAATGAAATGGCTTTCTATGTATAATGTACACATATATTTCATTTGTTAATAGTTTTTTTTTTTTTTTTTTATTAATAGATTTTCTTAATGTTTTACCATAGAACTGAGTGTAAATATTTTTATTGACGAGAAAAAAAGCAATATTAGAGTATTATATTTTTAATCCAAACATTTTTTTTCTTCTTAAATTGTATTTATTAAAAATATATATCTATAAATTATAACAACAAGTGTGTTTATTTATACCATCTGAATTTTTACTTACAAATATTTTATCTTTAGGATTTTTACATTTTATGAAATTTGAAGTGGTGTGAATTTTGCTATATTTTAATGTGATTCAAAGTGTATAATATAATATTAATTATCTCAATTATACATTACATGTTTGCATGAATGAGTAATAGTATAAAGAACGCACATTATACTGATGTAGTATGTGAAGGATATTATTTTTATAAAACAGATTATATGTATTCACTGACGAACAGATGAAATCATTAGAAGACAAGTGAATATTGATAAATGTAAAATATGTTATATATTATACATAAAGTCATAAAGTGTATATACATAAAAATTTAGATATTTATGTAATCAGTAATAAAATGAAAAACAAGCTTATTATGTGTACTAATATGTATTATTATAATTTATGATAATTAAATAACTCCAATACAAATGTGTGAGTGCAAAATTCACCACATAACAAAACACATTTTAACCCAATTTATGATCAGTGGCCTCAAAACTGATTAATCTATGAGCATATATTAATATTACGAAAATTAAAGCTGCCGTTTTATGCGTGAATGTACACATAATTTATAACATAAATAATTTTTAAATAACAACCAAACACACTACATCAGATAACTTATGATTATTGCCTATTTATATACGCGCATAAACTCTTATACGTACATAATAAATTCATACGTTTTAATTTAAGTTTATATAATACCTGGTTAAAGTTCATTATTCACAATACAGTCGTTTTCATTTACCTATTGACTGTAATATTACCACTCATACTTACTTGTAATTGCGGAGAACGCACCTGGACGATAGGTGTACGTATAAAATTTATCAAAAACCCAAATCATACTGTTTTGACTAGAGAATAATGATTATAAACTATGGGTTTTTTTTTTTTTTAATTATAATCATCAAGCAATTATTGTTTTAATGTAAATTATATTTTATTTATTTTTTTTTATAGTGACGGGATCACACGTGCTTGAAATATTACTATAACATTTCGACAACGGTGCTGCATGCAACACAACTCAATGACTACGGTACAAGGTATGATACAGTATAAATTATAATTTATATATACATAAATTATACATTTATTAAATATACGTTATATATTATATATCAGTATATTTTGTATTCCCCTCGAATAAAACCAACACCAGATAATTTACAGTAGGTAAGTACGTGTAATTTCATCAATGTCATTATAATATGATATTATATGACATGGTATGGTGCTATTTTCTTGTATGATCATAACAACACTCTTTAAATGAGCTGGTACATTACCACAAAATTTGCGGAATCTTTTAGATTTTCATAACCATTCATATATATAAAGGATTCCGCAAGATTTCAAATGCTGTGTTGCTGTAACATTCGTTTATAAATGCCTGTTAACACAAACATACAATGTAGAAATCAAGGGCGTATTTGAGTGGGTTTGTCTCGTATTGTCTCGTATTTTTTTTTAATATAATACATTGATTTATTTAAAAAATGTAATGTATAAATAATTAAGAATATAAATTACTAGTCTATTATTATAATATGATAATACATTCAATAATATAATATGTCAATTTGGTCACGGGTATCAATTTTTATTTATCTTCTTATATCATAATATTTTTGGTTGTAGAACGAATAATGGTATTATCTTTCACAAATATTTCTACGATTATAGACATTTACAACTATAACCGAGGTATTTATCAGATAATATAAAGTAATTTAAAATAACACTTTTTTTTTACCACATATTCGTATTTACTAGTTAGTCATTTTTTGGTGCATTTATGCATGTTGTATATTTTTGTATTTATTAGAGCTATATAAGTCCTTAATAATTTTACTCGTCTAATTTTTTCTTACAACATAATATCTGGTACTTTTTGTTGTGCATAGGTATTTAGTCATTTTTTTTGTGCATAAATGCATGCATATTTATGTATTTTATAGAGCTAGAAGCCCCTAACCCAAATAATAATCATAATAACTGACAATATTTGATTCCATATTCTTTAACTTGCAAATATTAGCCAAAAATATACTATTGTAAATTGAAAACATGGTTAAGATTAAGAATAAGCGAGCATAGACTAACAGGTTTGGTTTTGCTGCATGTGCTTAAAAATATTATTGTATCTATTGATGAAAAACATCAACAAATTTGCCAAAATGAAAAAAAGAAATTTGGAATTTGTTATTTGACTACTTACCAACCTTATGTTTTCTACTTAGATATTTTTTAAATTAAGTTACCTATCTTAATTGTTTTTTAAAGTTTTTAAAAAATAATTAATAGCTACTATTACTCTATGATTATTTGTTGTTTTTTTCATACAGGATTCAGACTGAAGGTATAATTTTAATATAAGAACTATTTGTGTTGTTATTATTAATACTTAATTTATATGTAGTAGATAATAGTAGATAACAGTCACAATTTTTATACACACATCATACATATTCTTCACAAAGGCTTATAATAGGTAGGTACTATAATTTTAAATCAATTTTTATTTGGTAGTAAAATGTTATAAGAAAATACATTATTTAATTAACAATGATAAATAATATTAAAGAAGCAGTATAAATTAAACATGGTTTATACATTATAGGTGTATTATATAATCTAAAAGATTTGAAGATAATGAAAAATTAAAATACACTATATAATATTTACTATTAAATCATTGAGTATGTAGAAATTTCAATGGGGGGGTCCGGACCCGAACCCTCCCCTTGGGTACGCCACTGTAATGAACTTTAAATTATTTTTAAGTTTCTATTGAAAAAAAATTAGTTTCGCCCCCTGCCCATGGCCTCAACTCAAATACGCCCTTGGTAGAAATACATACGTATAGATGTTTTGATTCATATAAGTACTAGTAATTTATATTTTGTGGTGATAATTATTTAAAACAATTAAATAAAAATGTTTATTTAATTATTTTATTTTATTGCATTTGATATTGAAATATATAATACTTTATTTGTTTACTGAAATAACATATTCTAGCCATAGAATTAAAAATACATTAACTGATCAGAAACTAACCAATATCACATTTCAAATAATAATTAAAAAATAGTTATTAAATAATTAAAAAAAAAAATTAATATTAATAATAAAATAAATAATAATAGTAGTGTTATATACACGGAAGTAATGTGCAAGCTGTTCCCGTGATTTCGTCGGTTCAAAAAAAGTAAAAAAGTAGTGTTATATAAGTACAATAAAAATCTCGTATAAATACCCGTTAAACTAAGTTCGCGTAAACTAATTACATGTGTAAATCAAAAACATATGACTGCACATTTCAAAATTATGAACAATTTGAGTTTAGGTTATAACGATTGTGCAAAGCTGCATTTGAAATCATGCGGAATCTTTTATATTTATAAATGTTTATAAAGATCTACACAATTCCGCAGATTTTGTGGAATTGTAGTGTAGCCTAATGTTCATCGTAAACTATACTGATTATTTATGGAAAAAAATTGTAAATGAACAATATTATGTACCATTTGCAAAATTCAATATTTTAATGTTATAGCATAAAAAGCTTTTAACGGGTGTGCAGAGCCCGGTTAAGGAGGGGGGGGGCTAAGTGGGCTATAGTCCAGAGCCCCCCAAAAAATAATATGGGATTGCAGCTTTTATACAGTTATAGATGTATAATTAGAAAAATATAATTTTAACAATATTTAATTAAAGATACAATCATATTAATCATTTGAAATAATTGTTTGCAATAACCTGCATGTTATTAAATTAGATAGGTACTGTGTTACTTATTTCGTTTTATTTTATCGCTTCAGATAAGAGGTAATAAACTTTAAATTATAGTCGTTTAATAGCTATATCCATATTAGTATATCACTATGAAGACGTTGGCAAAAGAAAACAAAGACATTGCGAAAATCAAACTATTTTATGTGGGAAAAAAAAGTTTGAAGTCGATACTTTCTTTGTTAAATAGATAAATTGATTTCTGAACTTGACAGAAGATTAAATTCTTATAATCTTTTTCTTTCTCAATTCAAATTTTTAGTTAACTTTAAAACTGACAATGATCCAGACATTGATTAATTAAATAACTGTATTCAGTTTTACCATAATGATCTCGATGATAACTTAAAAATAGAAATATCACATTTTTATCATTATATCAAAACATTTTCTCCAGATATTAACAATTGTGGTGTTGTAGCAAAACTTCTATACGAACAACAACTTATTGATGTTTTTCCAAATGTATATATTGCACTGAGATTATACTTGACAATACCGTTGACAAATTGTGAAGCAGAACATTCATTCTCAAAGTTGGCTCTAATTAAAAATCGACTAAGATCTACACAGTTTAAAGATAGGTTGAACGCATTAACAATTATGTCAATTTAAAATGACATATGTAAAAAAACATTCATTTGATGACGTTTTAGATACTTTTGCATCAATTAAAACAAGAAAAAAATATTTTAAATAATCATTTGTTTGTATTTTTGTGTTGTTACCATATATTTTATATTTTAACATTTAACTAAATTGTATTTTTTAATAAATTAACTGTAAAATGTAAATTTGCTGTCTAAGAAAAAATATTTTTCTTAATTAACTAATAAATATCAATTGGCATATTATTATAAAAATAGTTTTTTTGTAAAATTAGTAAAAAGTAGTAAAAATAAATTAGCCCAGGGCCACTAATTTCATTAATCCGGCTCTGCGAGTGTGTATTTCATGTGAATAAACAAGGAACCTCTCTTTAGTTAAGTAGGTTACGTATAAACATGTACACGTACGTGTAGTACAACGTATTTATACATATAAAGTGAGACGTGAGTATATGCAAAGTGTATGTCACTCGGAAAACAACTTTCAGTTGGAAGTATACATAATCAATTTTCTTTACTTATACGATATACGCCCACTCGGCGAAGATTCTCTCGACCTCTCGTGTTCTATACATCTTCTACAACATTATTACGGTTTCGTCAGAATGATCGGTACAACTTGTATAATGTACACAATAATTTACTATACAGCATACTTAATAACATAATATAACTATTTTATAAATATTATATGTTATTGATGGTGGTAACTATTAAAACCTTGTACGAGGCATAATTTTAATTTGAAATATATTACTTTACCTATACACTTATATGGTGGTGTACAAACATTTACGTTAACTATGAGTATTTGTTTATAAACACACTTAAACTTTGGACGTCAGACAGAGAAGTTTTAAGAATTCATATATTAAACAAATAATTGCAATTCTGCCAACGCTCATTCGAGTAATATACAGTTAATTAAATTTAAAAATGTTCCATTGTTGCATAATGTTTCATTATTATTCTGTGATCAATGATAATTATATACTGACATGCACTATATCAATTAACTCTTTAATTTTAATTAGTTCTGATGACAGTGTCTGGTCTATTTGCGGAAGTAGTTTGTTTAATGACTTAACTGTTTAGATTTTCTCAAATTCAGTTATTTTAAGTGTGTAAAAATATTGAAAACTTACACTAACATAGTTTGATGTACGAGTACATAAGGGCTAAATAGTTTATTTTATTATTCTACATGCGTTCTTAGGATTTTTTAATAGGGAGGGGGATATGAAAATATATTAAAGAGTAAGCTGTAGAAGGCAAGCCCCCCACGTCCCCTTTTTATAAAAAACAACATATAATATATTACAGCATATTATTATATGTAACGTGTAGAAAATTATAAATAGTCAAAAAAATATTTATTGATTATATTTATTTATTTCATTATTATATGGGCTTATAACTAAAAAAAAGGGTTATTATAAGTGCAATAATATGCTCTTATAAACGTATAGGGTCAGGTGGGGTAATTGTAAATTATTCTAACAAAGTATTTTTTAAGGTGTGTTTATGACTGTTTTCTTATACATAAATTAATTTTATTAGTGAATATCAATACTAGTGGACGAAATAAATATATTTCCAATTCAATTTTGGTCAATTTAAAATCCCAAACCTATAAAAATTGCAGTTTACATTTACCCCAGGCATTTACCATTACCCCTTGATTCTGTGGTAAATGTAAATGAACATATTAAAGCCATAAGACAATCATCAAATTGTGTATGGGGCAAATTAAAATGAATATTTTTAAAAATAAAATAGTATTTTTTTAAATTTTATCCACCAAAATTTAAAATTCGGTATGATTGTGAACAGAACACTTAAAGATGCAACCTCTTAACTGCTGTAATCAATATATTTTGTGAAAAAATATATTAAACAGTAAGTTTAACCTAACCTAACCTAACCTAACCTCCAGCCATCTGCGACATAAACCATATTCTGTTCAAATGCCCTGTCCTGCACACAGAGCGCCTACAACTTTTTTCTATTCTCCACTCTCTAAATATTCCTCTCAACTCTCACCACATACTTACTTCTCAATCCCCCCTGCTATCCTTGCAACAATTGCTTTTATCGTTAATTCTGGGCTGCTTATATAAATTATTCCGTTGTATATAAATAATCTAATTAAATATTTGGCGAAAATAATTGTTACACAAAGTTTCAATAAAAAAAAAAAAAAAAAAAAAAAAAGTGAAATAATCTATGGTTGTTACTGAGTAGAGTTTATGTCCATAGAAAATGATCTCTCGACGTCCACTAAAGTAATTGGTGGAAACTTAAAATACACAAGATTAACTGTTAAGAAATTTTCGGGAATTCCAGTTATATGTTCATTGTTCATATTTTTACCCAATAACACATTTGAAATATTCTTTAAAATTTTTTAGTCAACACTTTTGAGCAGATCGTTGTTTAGTTTATTGAAAATAGTTTTTGTAGATGATCCATTAAAGGTTTTAAATGTTTTTTCCATAATTTCAGATAAATGTATAGCTTCAGCTAATGGTAGTCCTTGTTTTTGTTGTTTAGTAGTAAAAACTGTTAAAGTTGTGAAATTAGATTTTATACAAATAATATATTTTTTAACGCTAACTTTGAAAGCATGTTTTTTAACTTCTTTGTTAGTTACAGTATCACCGGCATCTAGTTATTCAATAATTCCATATATTATTTAATTATTTTTACAATAGTAATTTGAAGCGTTGTTCTATGTACTCCAACGTGTAATAGTAGGTTAGGTAACAAATTTAAACAGGCATTTCATCTTTAAATAATTGAACAAAATTATGCACATAACGGGATTATTATTTTGAAAATAAAAATTAGCTTGTTATCATTACTAAATTTCCCTCTAACTTCTTCTGCTACTCAGAGCCTATGAGTCGTACACGTAATATGAATCATTTTAGAATAAAGAGCTTTTATCGTGGAAGTTTAATTTATTAAATCTTTCACAAAAAAAAAAAAAAATTAAATTAATAGTATAAAACAGTTAAAATATAAGTACATTTTTGAAGTGTTATTTCAACAGTAGAAATCTCAATAAAATTTTCTTGCAATAAATTGTGGATAATTATGTAGTTACTTGTATTTTGATTTCATTTTTATTTTTTATATTTAATTTGAGTGAACTTAATGAATCATTTTTAAAAACATAAAAGACAAATTAGCAGTACATAGTTTTGATTTATTTTATTGACTTTAATAAGATATCTATGAGTATTATTATCTTTCATTAGACTCTGAACAGAAAAACGTATTATACAATAAATAATACATTTTAATGATTCATTATTATAATATTTTTGTTTTTTTCTAAAACCGCAGATGACCTTAATAAAATGTTTTATCACTGTTTATTAATAAAAAGTATGACGAATAACGTTGATAAATAAATAAAATATGACGTGCAATGAAATTGAATTGATTATATTATATTCTTAATAACTCACTTTTTTGTGAACTTTGAAACTAATATAATATTTTCTCTATTCCGTTTTGCTTTCATCATGTAGATCATGTGTTAATAACCTTTTTAAAATCTATGCCCCCTTTCATAAAATTTTATGAAGTGACATCCCCCTAACCAGTTTAAGGTTAAAGTATTACGATTGTACTAATCATTCAATAATTAATATTTCATTAAATTTTAATGAATTTATTTGTAGAGAAAAAATATTATTTAAATTTAAAATTTTTAAAACAAAGTGTTTTATAATATTATATTACATTTTAAACTTGTTTCTATTAAATATATATTAATTAAATGATTGACACTGTTTAGCTTTAATTAATTTTTTAATGTTTAGCAACAACTGTGATAGTGCGCATAAATAAATGATAGTGTGCGTAAATAGAAAATAACGTAATTACTCAACAATGCCTGATAAAATATAAATAATTGGAAATATTGTTTTCATTTTATATGGTTTTAAAAAATGCGCGCCCCAGAATGAGAACCATTGGCGTATGCATGGTAATTTGTTACTCCACTGCGGTAACCTATTTGAAAAAACATTGACTTGTATAAATATAATTATCGTCATCAGTGGAAGCATTTAGACATATTAAAACATAATAACCAACAATTTGTCCGTTACTCATTTATACATATTATTGTATTACATAAATCAGAATTATTTTACGGGTGCTAGCTGTTTAGTTTTTGCTGGGGGTGATGTTGTCAACATCATGTTTATGTATGTCGATGACTATAAAAAGAAGCAATAATTATTTTTAATGGCTATACGTTTTGTACCATAAAATAATGCTATTTATTATGCCCGCGTCATGCCTAAAAACACCTTGCCCCTAGCGTTCAAACGAATACAACGGGTCAGTGTTCACCTAAGGGGTACGAGAAGAGAGGGGAGATACTGTAATTATAGTTGTGCATACATGATTACGGAATGGAACGCTGACACAATCATGCACTATACGCTCGATGGACGAAAATGATCTACCACAGTGTTTCCCAAACTTTTTATCTTTGCCGCCCACTTCCAAAAAAAAAAAAATTCGACAGACACTCCCTTAAAAAAATATTTTTACAAAAGTATGCAATGAAAAATTAAATTTATTGTTTATAAATATATATAATGTATAGGTACAAATGAAAAAAAATATCTTAATGAGATGGATGTGGTTGGTGTTTTCTAAAAGTTCGTTGATATTAGGTTCGATTTTCGTAAGCAGCATTTTTAAGTCCCCGCGATTAGTTATTTTTAACCGTTGTCTTTTTTTAGTAAGTAGATTTTTTACTACACTAAATCCACGTTCAACCAAGTAGGATGATAGAAGTGGGATCAAAAATGTTTGCACAACAGCCCACAATCCAGAATAAAGTAGAGATATCTGCTTTTGTAGCCAGAATACTTGGTAACCTTCCTTGAACTTTAATTTTAATTCCTCATTTGTAGTTACTTCTATCAATTCTTCTTCTAATTTTGCAGAATCTGTGGTTTCTGTATTTGAGAATGGATCTAAAACCCATTTGGGTATGTCCATTTTAAGAATATCGCCCTCTTTTTGTAATGAAATGCCCCCTCAATTAAGCTTGTAACTTCCATTGCCCCTCTGGATAGCTCTAGCACTCCCAAGGTGGCGATATCGCTCACTTTGGGAAACACTGATCTACCATAATGTATTTAATTTTTTTATAATATATATATTACGAGTATGTACAATGTACATATTATATGATGGCATATTGGGCGTCAATCATCCGACGTCTATACTATACACATGCTATAGACTATAGTCTTCAACTGTTTGTATTATGCTAATTGCTAATCATAAAACACACAAAACGTTAAATAAACTCATTTAATTATTATATATAGTCATATAGCTACTTATACTCATGCAAATTACAATAACATTTTGTTTATCAATTAGTTAATATATTAATTTACAATTAGTTATTGTACATATTATTGAATTATAATTATATAGGATAACTTCCATTAACAATGATTTGACATCCAACTATTAGTGTATGAGTGTACCTATGAAATAGTATTTTTTTATCAATCTTTGCAGTAGATAAATTTTGTTTAAAGATTTTTCATACATAATGTAATTATTTATTAATAATATTTAAATCACATAATGTCATAGATATAATATATTTATAAACATTTATTGGTATATTTTTCATTTAATTCCATTATATTAAAACAAATTTATTGAAAAAAGGTCGATATCCACAATGACTGCTATGTTCAATAATTATTAAATACATTCTTCTTTTATGTTTTAGCAACTTCGATAACGGGTTGGAAGCCATCCACAGTTGATGTGGTCGCCAGCTGTAGGTTAACGAGTAGTATTACTGCCTCTACAGATACAATCAGGTACATATAATATACTATTAACTATATGTTAGGTATACTTAGAATACGTGTTTATGACTAGATTTCAATGTCGTTTATTTTATTTATTTTTTGTAAAACATCGTTGTATGTAAAATTATTTAATACACAACATTTTATTATACGTAAACACTTATTTGGGGTCATCAGGTAAACGAGAAGTGGTTCTAATGAGTTATACATATTTTATTGACAAGTCTAATTCATCAAAAACCAGTATTACGTGTATTATTAATTCTTCATTAAAACGAGTGTACGAGAAAGTTATTATGCATATACGCTATAATTATTTATTTCGTGTGGTTTTAACCATTTCTATTATACAGTAATGAAAAAAAAAAAAAATATTAACAGTGTATGTCGTAAGTCCAATAATCAATGAATAAAAATTATCGTTAACAACACTATCGACCTTGAATCTGAAACTCATTCAGTATATAGATTCAAATATACATGAATACAATACACTAGGCTAGTAACTAATATATTATAGTAATTTTAAATGTGTATACATGTTTTTTTATTATTTTCTATTTTCTACTATATAATCGTGTGCTTATAAATATTGTTTGTTGAACCCATAAAACGTTTATAATACATAATTTTTTTTACTTTCATTTAATGTTTAACAAACAAATCTACTAGCTGCTATGCAAATTACTAGCTATTGTGTAAATAAATTTCCTATTTTTACAAAAATTATTCAACTAAACATATAAACTATACCTAATTTAATAACAATATTTTTTTAACTATAGTTATTTATAAAATTAAAATTAAAAACCGTTATTTTTTAAACAATGAAATAGTGTTGAAAAATATGTGTATAGGGTTAACATTATAGCCTACACCCTATAAGATCTCAATACATATTATTATAAAAATATATGAAAATAAAACATAATGATTAATTTCCGCAAACTACCTCCGCTGTCACAAATAATGATTATTTTTTATTAATAAATGTGTCTGTTTATCCTTTTTTCTACGTGGCTCACCCGAGAGTGTACTCACTATACGTTTCCCGTGTATCTACACTACCATTGTTATGTTGACATGCGCATAAAGGTTTGTAAGGGTAGTGACTACTATGCAGCCCATCGTTAAGGCAGCGCACACAGTACTGTTTCGACATCAGATACACAACGTTGTATCGGACCAATGCTATAATAAGGTCCTAATACTTTTAAGTCGATTTATAAATTAATTTATGAGAAATTATATAATTATTGAATTTTAATTGCCTCTCTTAATTTACTTGTTCATCTAATATATTATATTATTTCTATATGAACGGTATAGCATAATAGTGAACGGTGTTTTTGTAAGCAATCAATAAACATAATTTAAAAGAACAATAGATTAAACCGCAAAATTCTTCTGAATCACTCCAAAATAATTAATACCTAAGTCGTTTGGTAACTAAACAATCGTATGCAACCACTGTCATTAGTATGTGATCATTGCACATGTGCATTTTACTTCCAACAGTCAAAACGGGCATTATAGCGTCACGCCTCATCAGCGCCCAAATAACGTAAGTTAAAAGTAGCCTAAATAGTCTTATATTTACTTCAGTACATAGGTATATTTATTACAAAAATATAATATTTGGTTATTATTTTCTTTCATTATTTAACAATAAGTATTTTATTTAAATTAATACTAAAAAATAGAAACGCATTTAAAACGTATTTTATATCTGATACTATATAAAAAATTATCAAATAATGATGATCAGCATATCTAATAATCTAAGATAGTATGTGAGACCATAATTTAACATGTCTTGCATGCAGTGCCGCAACTACACGCTATGGGGCTGGTATGCAAATTTAAATTTGGGGCCTAAATATTTTTTCAAAAAAGTATTTACCTAATATAAATAAAATATGTTAACGGTGTTTATATTATGGAAGGTAGTCTAGTGGATCTTCAATTTTAAATGACTTGCATTAATGTAGACCTGCATTATTTTCTGCTATTTCTATTCTAAGAATTAATATTACCATAGGATTATAAATATTTTAGTAATATAATAGTATTTATAATCAATAATATTGCATTTGATTATTGAAAACTAGTTAGTAGTTGATTATGTTATTTGATTATAAATATTTAATAATATGATAAATCTGTTTTTTACATTTATCAATTTACTTCAATTAAAATGTCTATAATAATACATCGTGTGGGGCTTATAACAGTTTGGGGGCCGATGTGCAATGCACACCTTGCACACCCGGTAGTTGCGGCACTGTTTGCATGTTATATATGCAAAGTATAGTTTAAGGATAAAATGAAAAGTTAGCGTATCTACATTAAATAATGGCCTGTCTTGGTGTAAAACTATATTATCCATAAATAGTTTTGTTTACAACTTTCTAAGTCTATTAAACATTTTGATATTCATCTAGTAAACTAATCGAAGACATATTTGAATTATTTAACAATCAAAATTTATTTCAAAAATAATAAATATTCCTTATTAATACATTATAAATTTTGATTATTAAATTGATCATTCGATTTTACAATTTAGTTTTTAGGTAAATTTATTACCGCCACCTGAGGATTTGCTTAACAGCATTTCCAGGTAGCAGATATATTGGAAATAATAAACAAAAAAATAATGTAAACTTATTAAAATCAATTTTTTAATTTCGTAATTAATAGTGGTTTTGAAATATGCATAAAAGCGGTAATAATTCAAACATTATATTCTTTATAATATTTGGAGAATTTACTAAATGTAACAAATTAACGATAAATATTCTAAGCAAACGTGTTATTTATTTAAACATTATTAATTTAATAGTATTTATAAAATGTATTCAATTTTGCTTGTATAGTAAAAATCGATGAGTTACATAGATTTATATTCTTGAGCATTATAAAATTAAATATAATATTAGTTATGTATATATTTGTAGGCATATAATATTATAACTTCATTTTCTTATATGGGTGATTATCTAAATATTTAGCGGTTAGATACGCTCAAAACGTAATTTGGTAAATTTGGGTACTTAAATGTAATCGAGTCAAAAAAATAATATTTGAGATATAGTTATAAATGACTAGCGATAGCCACAGATGCTATAATGCTCTAGACCTTAGACAAACAAAAAAACAACTACATTAAAATGTAGTTAAAAAATATACACATATTAATTTAATCACTATATTGTTTATTATAACTATGACGTAAGTATCTAATACAAATATATAATAATATATATTATAAATAAGTATATATTATTATATATTACTTACGTATGACCCCAGTGTAATGATATTGTTATATATTCTTTAAATAACGACAATATATAAATAAACAATATAAAAAACAATATATAAACTATTTGTCTATGACTTATAATTTGTTTATTATTATTATAATAAATGTATTTTCAATCAATTTTAGTTAATGAATTTCTAATTCACATTCAATGGTATATACATCGATTAATCACATATATGAAATATATACTCAAAGTGAAATTATGTAAATATTGTATAGTTACAAATCGATGTGCAAAATTAAACTGCTACCTACATAAATTATTTAAATTTCAGGTCACACTATTAGGTTATTACATATTATAGTTAATAGCACAATATAAAATATTATTACAAATTACAATTTCACTGTGCCCATTTTACAATGCATGTTTCATCTTTAAAGCATTTTGATGAACATATTTTTATTGAACTTAAGTTTCAATTAAAATAAAACATGATAATAAACGATTAGTAAAAAATAATTAAGCCGTAAAACCTCAATAACAACAAATAGTTATGTTTATTTAAATTAAAAAATCGTAATATTTTATGTGAAGTGTATACTTAAGTTTTTATTGTAAAATATACTATTACAGTAAACACTTATATAATATAATATTATGTAATTTATTGTTACTAAATGAATAATTGTAATTTATTGTCATAACTGCAGGCATGGGCGCCCGCAAGGGCGGCCAAAGGAGCCATTACCCCTACTGGGAACTTTTGTTTCAAAACTATTGTTAATTTAATACTACACATATTGATTATAACAATTTTATTGAGATCCATTTATGAAGTTTAGTAAAATTTATCATATTTTTAGGTATTCTAAAATGTATAATCTTGAATGTATTTATTTGTTTACAATGTTTACGCAAGACTGCATATCGCTTAAGACTATAAATTCTCCCGTGTACCGATTTCTATGGTATTTGATTTTGTTCTCATATATTTTTAGATACACGTTGGGACTCTTAGAATTTTAATCTTACTCCGGGTGGGATTTCATTCTGCGGGCGCGCTTGACTGCAGGCATTTCTGTATAGTTAAAAAAATTCTAAGATTATTATTTTTAAAAGTAGAATGAAATAACTAATATTAAGCTAATATTATTATAATTTTTATTAAACAGCTTTACAATTTTTTATCATATTTCGATATTTGTTGAATCGTCTGTGAAAAACCTTCAGAACAATTCGAAAACGGATAACTATAAAATATTTGCTAGAAGTTACTATATGTGTACATTTTAGATCGCAATACACCTTTAAAATAAAAACATGTGATTATTTTTGACCATAGTCATTTTTTTTCAAATTTGCAAGGAGTATCTGTACAATTGAACCTGTTTTAACGTCATCAGTCATCGTGTTGATGTACTCATGTATATAATTATTAAATTTAACCACAGGAATTCAATTTTTTTCTGTACAGTCGACATGCGGCAGTGTCTGTGGACGCGAATCCTTTGCCGTCATCCGAGAAATCGACGACCGCTGTGCAAACAGTAGTCAGTGACTCGCAGCAATGTCCTTTAGTTATCATAAACGAGCACCAAACGCAGGATCCCCAGCAACCCACAGCTGCACCGGTTGTTGAATGTCCACGAGACTTAGATGCTGTGAGAACAAAAAAGACTGAATCTGCAACAACGACAGCACTGACACCGTCCCTTCGACCAATATGTCCTAATTTGCCTTATTCCCCGGCATGTTCACCACGGATTGGAAGACGTCGACCACCTTTACGCGAATGTCGCGTGTCGATCAACGCGCAGAGCTTGGATGATCCGAATGTTCATCAAAAGCTCAATCAATACAAGTTAATTGATTCCATCGGGCAGGTATAGTACCGTTGCAAATTTGTTTATACCTACAATAATTAAACATTTAAGTTATTATAATTGGAGTATATTGTTCATACTATCGGCTATTATACTATAATTACATAATTTATAGTACATTATATTTTATAAACCTTACCAATAATAAGATAATCTCCAAAATCCTAATTATTATTTTTAGAACTTTGAATTTTTTTTTTGATGATTTGTCGATACAATAAGATGACTGTTTTTCAAATTTGCCTTTTTAGTATACCTAGATATTATGCTTTATAATTAAGTAGGATTATTATTTTTACTTCAATAATATGCTTTATATTAAAAATATATATAATATGGTTATTATTTTTACTTCAATAGTATGCTTTATACTATAAATGCGATAGCACTATTTGAACTGTTTTTACATTTATATTTTAAATATTCCTTTGTTAATATTTTACGCAACTAATTTTAAAGATTGAAATTAGTAATTTATTAAGGAACCAGAATGCCAAAAAATATAGGAATCGAAAATATAGAATATATATATCCCCATGGATTTTTTTTTTTAACACAAATAAATATGAAATACATATAAATATACAATACATAGTTTTGATAATGAATTATCCTTTCTCTTTTGGTTTTTAGAAACTTAATAACCATCATATTAACAGAAGTGACATTTTATTTGTATATATCAACTATTCGGCATCATTTACTGTTATAAATAGGTAGAATATTATTTTCAGTTAGAAATTAAAAAAGTTTGATTAGAATCATCAGAATATGAGTTATATATTTATATAAGTAAAAATGTAAATCTCCCTCATGATGGTACAGTAATACCAATTTAAAATTTAAATTATTGTGTATAAATATATGAATTATTGTAGAACTTATACTCACTATATAGAGTGCCTATCTATTTATGTATAGCCTAACCTGCGTGTCACAATTCAGTTTACTATATTGACACCAAATTTGACAGTGAATAATTGGTTTATTTCAATCCCATTAATTTTTTACTGTCTTTATATATACCTATATATCTTTATGATAATTTTATTTCTTATAAAAAGAGGTTGCTAATAAAAGTAAAAAGGGAATAAATGTTTTACTAGATAATAAGAATGTCAACATTTGATAAACATAATATATAAATATATAGTGTATTGTAAAAAATAACCTCTTATGGTATTATTATATTCTCGAAAAATAATCAACATTCTTTTAAACATGAATAATATTTCTTAAGACAAAGACACAAAGGGAAAATTTTGAAAAATATATTTTACTAAAAAAATATGTGTTTTCTGATCAATTTTAATGACCAGAAACATTTTACTTTTGCACACTATTCTAAGTGATTTTTTAAAATTTTGTAACCATGTTTCTCAAAACAATAAATTTAACTACTATTAAAAATAAAGTGTATAGCTCTAACGTCCTGAAGTTCAATACTGTGTTAATAAAATTATCACAATAAGTAAAAATTGTACTTATAGAATATGTATTATTGATTTATCTTTTTAGGGAACGTATGGACTTGTAAAATTGGCGTATAATGAACTAGATGACAAACATTACGTAAGTATGATTAATTTTTAATTATAATTTTTTTAAATAATTCTCATAAAAAATAAAAAAAAAACAATTCCATATTACATCATAACCTTATCCGTTTATTAAGCAAACTTCCCTCAGTTTTTTTTCTTTTAAACCATTAGTAAAAACACATTTAATTATTTTCAGATAAATAATTTGATATTGATTCAAAAACATATTTCGATTAAGTAAAAAAATTGAATCAGAATTGTAATTATAAAATGACAAATAATAAAATAATAAAAAATGTAATAAAAATTAAAAATTTTTAAACGGTTAATAATCATAAATTTATATATAAATAAATAAACCAATAGTGTATATACAGAAATAAATAAATAAATAAAAGCTTAGCCTGGAGTAATATTATTTTTGTAAATTATGACTGGTTTCGAATTAAAAATGCATCGTCATATAAACTGTAAATCAATAAAATTGCGAATGAATATGAAAAAATAAAGGAAAAAATACATTGAGAAAAATTAGTTGTCTTGCCAACATAATAATACTCCAATCTAAGCTTTTATACATTTATTTATTTATTTCTATACATAAACTATTTGTTTATTTATTTATGTATTTATAAAACGACGTTTATTATAAGCGTCGTATTCGAATTTACAGCGCACAATATACTCGTAATTATTATTAAAAACTGTTATTTGATGTATACTTTTGCTAAAAAAATTTAAATGTTTATCAAAAATTAAATTTATTATTATTTTAATAATTTTGTTATAAATAATAAAAAATGTTTGTTGAATTATAGTAGTTTTCTTACTTTAATATTCATAAAATATCTATGAATAACACCAAACTACCGGATAAATGATTAAACTAGTGAATAAATTATTATTAAAAATGTATAAATGATCAAAGTATAATCACTTTTAGTTTTATATAAATCAAATAATTTAACGTTTAAAATAAATGTTTAGGCCATGAAAATACTATCAAAAAAAAAATTAATGAAGAAAGCTGGCTGCTTTGGTAAGTATTATTTAAATAAAACACTAAATTCATTAATAAAATATTCATAATTTATTATAGGTATATGTTTACAATTTTACTTTATCTATGGCATAAATTATTATTTATATTATTAACTTTTTACGGAATATTTAAGGCGGTGATTTCCAACCTTTCATTACTCAACTTTTAGATCTTCAAAAATCTGATAATGCCCCCTTCCCCCGGATAAATTAAAAAAATATATAATTTGATTTCTATAATCTGCCATTTAATTAAATTATAAGATAGAAAAAGCTATGAAAAATTTTTATTTTTATATACTAAATTCTTAAATCTACTAAAAAAATTATTTATATAAATATAATATAAAATTGACTATTAAATAATTAAAAAAAAAAATTACTTTTGATTAGTGACTACCTTGAGGTTAATGATCCTACTAATAAAATGATACTTGGGTCCAAGGCCGGAGTTGGAATTTTTTTTGCGAGAGAGGTCCAACATTTGTGTATTGTAATTTTATTAAATTTAGATTTTAATTTTTGATATTTGGTTAAAAATAAGACAAAAAAAGATTTAATCTTCTTTTATTAAAATTAATATCATATTTTCTTATGATATTATGATATAAAATTATAATAAGTCAATGATTAATTGGAGTTTAAGTCATTTTTGACAGAAAATATTTATGTTAGTATTATAAATACTATTATAAATTACTACTAAATTAAACTAGTATTATAAATTAAATTAAATAAGTATTATAAACATTCGTAAAACATTGAAGACATTTCGGGGGTGGGGGGTCTAGACACCATGGACCCCCTCCAGATACGGCCTTGCTTGGGTAAATAAATATAAGCATCACTCTTAAATTTCCCTTTTCAGATATGTTCAACCGATTTCTTAACTATATACCATTTGACTGGTATTTAATGATATTGTAGTGTGTGTACATATTATTTATACCTGCATAATTATTTATATTACTTTTGGTACATTATTATTTTTGATTGTACGCAGTTACCTAAACATTTTATTTCAATAAGTCATGAACAATAACAATGAAGACATAGTTGAATCGCCCCCTTAAGTAAAACGCCCTCCCTCAAAACTAAAAAATCCTACTAGGGGGCGATAATGCCAACGTTGAAAATCACTGATTTAAGGAATCAGAATTTATAATTGTACTAACTATTAAGCTCAGAATAATGGGCTCAAGTAGCACGTCCTGAGTCCCTACGGATTTAGGGAACAAATTATGTCAATATTCCAGAATATTGTGTTCTGCATCTATACTTTTTGAGCACAACAATTTTAGTTCTTATTATTTTATTAGTTTTATTAAGAGTTATTATTAGGCCTCAAATGTTTATGGTATTGCATATTATTTTTTATTTATCCAATTCAATGCTTACCTAGATAGGAATTTTATTCATATTCTACTAAATCAAATAATACTATTATACCTAACATAATTTTGCATATTTTGTTTATATTTTAAATTTATTGTTTTTGGATTCTAAGAATATAAATGGATATTTCAATAATTATTTTCAAACATTTTTAAAATTATTTAAATTGAAAATGTATTTAGACTACTATAAAGTTAATTTCACAATTTTTATCTCGCATTTTCCAAATATGCTCTAAAAACATCAATAGATGTAGAAAGAAGTTTTTCATGCTACAAAATTCTACTTTCGAACAACAAACGTAGCTACCAATTTAACAATATTAAAAAATCAATGTATAACATCTAATTTTATTTTAAATAAATAAATTATATATTTTTATTTAATATTAAATATCTAAAGTTAAAAAACATTCAATTTGAGTAAATGTTGTTAATTTTTTTTTGCTAAATATTCATATTTTAAATTAATTGGAGTTATTTTAAATTTATAAATATCTGAACCCTAGTTATTGTAATTTTTATTTCGTGTGGTTATCGAAAACATCTTTTTTTACTATCTTAAAAAAAAATACTTAATATGTACCTATTTTTTAAGTTCCCATTTTCGTGAATAATATTATTAGTTGTGTAAATTGTTTATAATAATAGATCGTGTTATAATTTAAATTTATTTATTCATTCAGCAGAAAATGATTGTAAATTTATTTTAGTTTATTGTTATGTATAGGAATATAAAAACTATTAGCGTTTAATTTATAGAGAATTGATAAGAATTTAAATTATAAGAAAAAATTAAAAAAATCTAATATCCATTATATATTTAAGTACTCATATATTTATTTTACCTAAGTACTACACAATTTTATATAATATTTAAAACTATTACATTTACAACTATGATTTTAAATTTATATCCAATAATACAATGCATTTTTTACCAATATACTGAGCGACATAATTGTCGCCTAGGAGATGATATCTTTAATTGTTGAGCGACATTGAAGTTTTGGCAAAAATTAAGATATTTGTAATTATTTTATAATTTTATTTAGTAGTAATTTTGTATGTTTGATTTTATTATTTGTTTATCATTTCGTTTGACGATTTGAAATTGAAACATTAATTATATTGATTATTAGAATATCTATCATGGAAAACCGATAAAAACCAAACGATATTGTATTATATTGTACTATACATACCATTACGAGTTTGGATGGTATTATTAGAGTTTTTAATGTTCGAAAAACTTTTCAACACTGGTTTTGAACCCTAAATTTTTTTTTTTTTTTAGGTTTTTTTTATAGTTTTTTGATGTTGAATTTATCGATTTTTTTTTTTTATCTCTCAGAGAAAATTCCTTAAAATATTCACTGCAATAATATTGTAATAATTATGAATTTAACTCAATTCCTGAGCGATGTCTAGTGTGAGTTGTGTTAACTCCCTCCCCCCTGCCACGAAAAGTTAACAAATTTAGAAAAAAATATTGCTTAATATTTGTATAGAACTTAAGTTTAATATCACATACATTTGTCAAGGTTATTTATATATAATTCATTATCGAGTTGATTCCTTTATTTCATATAATGTCAATATACTTTATGTACTCCAATTTGGAGTGAAATACTATAAAATGTATGATGTGTAGCTATTTCTAAGAAAAAAATTTAGTTGAAAATTTTTAAAAGATAATTTTTTTTCTCTTTGTATCTTAAATACTTACTTAATAATCGTCATGCTATAATGTCGTAAAGATATAAGAAATAAAAAAATAAAACGTGTAATTTTTCAAAAACGTATGATTTGTTATTATATAAATTAAATAATCCTTACACTAAAAGGTCAACAATATTGTATCGTTGATTTTTTTCAGTAATTTATTTCACACTATGGTTTACTTTTTAATTGAAAAAAGTACTAGATAATAATTACGTTTACAATGATTATGTCATATTATAAGGGAGCTATTGTTGTTAGAAGATGAAAAAAAACCTTCAATACACCAATTCTATTCATCAAATAATTGTAATAAATATGCTGCCACGGTCAAAATTATTTAAAATTATATAGATTTATTACAGAAAATGAAAAAAAAATCATACTATTATATTATTTACTGATTTGATTTTATGTTCAATTTATAAAGGTAATAACCTCAACTATAAAATTACAATTGAATTAGGACAAAATAAAATTTTATTGAACAATGAATGAGGTTGATATTTATAGGTAAATATTTAGAATCTAAAAAGTAAATAAGTACCATATTATGTAACTTTTTTTTTTTCTTAATTGAAAATAAAATTACAATACAAATTAGATTTTCTTAAATATACTATTTTATTGTTTCATGATGATATAAAAAGTGAATTAATAATGTTTATATTTATGTGTTTCAATTATATGTTATCTTAATAAGATATCACATAGACATGCTTTGTAAGTTCTAATCTATCTTGTTTAGAAAATCATATTTTGCACAGAATTTTGTTTTTTATTAAGTGGTGCATAATAACAAGTATTTTCTTAGAGCTTAGTTTAAGTATATATATATATATATATATTATAACCCTTGGCCAAAATCAATAGTTTTGTTTTAATAAAAATGTTCACATTTCCATAAAAATGTTTATGCTATTTAAATATAGATAAATACATAAATTTAATATTTAAAGAAAAAGATAAACACAAATTTTTTTTCAAATATCGAATGTGTATATTCAAATTTCATGTATTTATAAATAATGTAATTCGTATTTACAGTTATGTGGCTTAAGTATTTAAATGTCCAGGTTACATATATACTAGGTTATAAATGTGAGCTTTTAGAAAATAGGGGTATAGCAATTATTACCCCATCTATTATTTATTTACCACGTAACTGTTGTGTATTATTTAACTGACGAATTTTAAAATTGTTCAAATTAATAATTATTAGATTAGATTATTTAAAATATTTCCATGTGTGAAATTCATTTAATATTAGGTACAATTAATATGTTCCTAGTAAAGTATTAAATTTTGATAGTAAATTTCATTTTGTATTTTCTACAGAAACATAGAACTTGACCAGAGCCAATGAATTTTTAAGAAAAAATAATGCTTTGATTTAATATACCCATACTTCATAAACATGCAGTATTAAAATTTGGGAGGGACAGGGGGACTAAAATGTAAAGTATACCGGTTGTTTTACAAATAAAATATATGGCTGTATATTTTTGTGGTATAACATCCTCTAATTTAATTTTCCCAATTTAAACACTACATATATTTATAGAATTTACAATAGGTATTATATTTAATTAATTGTATAAGACAATGCTGTTATATTATTATCGTTATATATTACAGGTAGAATGAATGCCAGGCGCAAAGGGGCCAACCCACTTGATAAAGTATACAGGGAAATAGCTTTAATGAAAAAACTTGATCATCCTAATGTAGTAAAACTAATCGAGGTGTTAGAAGATCCAGATGAGGATCATCTTTATTTAGGTAATTATTTTACTAATATATTTTCATTTCATTTTAATATTTATGTTGTATATTCAAGTTTTTGAATTATTGGAACGTGGGGAAGTAATGCAAGTTCCTGGTGATCCTCCTATGTCTGAATCCAAAGCCAGATCATATTTTAGAGATATTCTGTTGGGTCTAGAGTATTGTAAGTACATACTAATGACGGTATTCCTTAGCATATATTATTCAAGCATATTTATTCAGTTGCATTATTTGAAATCATTAATAATTTTCATTAGACGTAGATAGTTAAGGATCTTGAAAATACTTAATAACATGTTTAAATTCGAGTGAACAATATCATTATATTCATGTTCATATCTTTCATTGATTTTTTCTTCTATTTTTTTGTTTTATTCGACTAGTGCACTTCCAACGAATCGTGCACAGGGACATTAAACCGTCGAATTTATTGATTGACGCCAACGGTCATGTGAAAATCGCTGACTTGGGCGTGTGCAACGAGTTCGACGGTAGCGACGATCTGCTGAGTTCAAGTGCAGGCACACCGGCGTTCGCGGCGCCCGAAGTTCTGGACCCTTCGACAGCGACGTACAGTGGCAAAGCGTTGGACGTTTGGGCCTTGGGGTGTACCTTGTACGCCTTCGTATATGGCCGGTTGCCGTACACTGCGGAATCCGTGTTAGGTGTGCACGAGCAGATCAGGACGCAACCCGTGCAGTGGCCAGTAGAGCCGGAAACATCACCACAATTGGTCCACCTGTTGCACAGACTTCTCGACAAGGACCCCAATACCAGAATAACGTTGCCGGCTATCAAGCAACATGATTGGGTGACGAAGGCTGGCGCCGAACCGTTGCCCTCTGAGCAGGACAACTGTCAGCTGATCGAAGTCAGTGAGGAAGAAATGATGAACGTTGTCAAATCAATACCCAAACTCAACACGTTGATACTTATCAAAGCCATGCTAAAGAATCATTCGTTCTTGGTGAGTATTATAATATACAATATTCATAACATGCAAGTTACGGTATTATGGATAAAAATAAATTTAATAAAATTCTAGATTTCCTCTTCTTTCCTTTAATTAGATAATATAATATGTATAGAAAATAATTTGTTATCTTAACATTTTGTGTATTATTTGGTTGGGTTAGTTCCATAGGCGGACATTTGGTTGAATTTTCGGTGTGGCTATAATAATTCAATGTAAAATAACCCGCAGGGGCTTCGTCCTCACACCCTCTTCCCATACACAAGTAAAACTTATTACTATTAAAAATATAGATATGTTTAAATTATATTAAAAGAACACTAAATAACGTATATTTAAAAATAATTAATATTTTATTTTAATGACAAATAACTATTTGTATTAGCAAATATACTCAAAATATCATCGTTTTTAATATTTTTCGATATATCTTTTTCCATACATAATATTGAAAGATTGCTGAACCTATCTTGAACTAACAATGTCCTTAACCAAGTTTTTATTTTTTTCATTGCACTAAAACTTCTTTCATAAGTAGCCAAATTATGTAATTGATATTTTTATGCTATTGTAAATAGTTTTTTATTATTTCTTATTTTACGATTTTTAAAAAAAATGAACAGATAATTTATATATAATTATAATTTAATTATAAATAAATTATAAAAACAACGAATAAAATTTCTAACAGTTTCGATTTTGGGGGGTTATTAAAATATTTTAGGGTCTAAGCCCCCCAAGCCCCCCCTGATACGAACTAACTTAGTTCGTAAACAAGACCGAATTATGGTCATAATTAGGGCTCGGAATTATATGGACTAAAAATGTACGAAATATGCATGCATTTATGTGATGGTTATCATTGAAATATGCAATCAAAATATGCAAAAATATGCAAAAATATGAAAACAAAAATGTATTTTTATTATTTATTAAATTTATTTAATTTTAAAATGTATACAATTCATTAAACAATTAATATTCAACAAAAAATATACTTTAAAATATATCAACTATATATTATATATTTTATTGAACTGTATGGAACTGTATATTGTATTAAAATTAAATTTTATTTTGAACACTCACTCATCTAAACAAAAAGTCACAAACGAAAATCAATTTAAACTAATTAAACGGATTTTCATAATATTTTTAAAGTTACCCAGAGAGTTACTATCGTATTGGTACTTTTAGCAAACTATATCTTTTTATAACACAAAAATCAAATTATATAACTGTACGATTCACGGAATTTACGATGGACATGCGCCAAGTAATAAATAATAATTTGATCCTGGTAGTTTTTAAGGGGTTGAATATAGGTAATTTGTCACATATGTGCGTGAACGCCATGAGAGTGTATGCGAAGTAAATGATCACTAGTGTGTCTAATTACCCCGCTCTATACCCTCTTCCAATATTCCATGCCGGGCCATATTAATCTCGTGCTGCTAATCACCAATGCACCGGCGCGATGGCAGAACCAGTTTTCCAATAATAGATATCACAGAATTGCTTATTTTATAATATATTAAATATATAATAAAAATAGTAACTTCTTTGTATTTTAGCTATACCATAAACCATGGATGTAGCTAAAATTTGAATCAGGGAAGGGCAAAAACATAAAATGATTAGTGTTAAACTCGTAATTCAAATAATCTACAGATAGACCATTGGATAACACATAACACGTCAAAACGATTACACGTGTAGATATCACTCGGTCCCACTAAACTATTTTTAGAATTATATCTTATTTAATTTTTAATTTTAATGTAACACTTACACGTTTAGTATAAACAAAAATAATTCTGTTTGAGGCGCAGGGGTGGGCAAGTGCCCCCCTGCCCCACCCTCGCTACATCCATGCCATAAACCAAATACGAATGAACTACTACTGCTGATTTCTAAAATTTTCATTTTCATTTACAAAATTACCTATGTCTTATCTTTGAGAGTTTATTTATAGGCTTTTAAATTGTGATAATATTTAGCTTAATTCCATTTAGGTATAATATAATATAAAATAAACAGATTGATAACGATGTGGACACTATAATTAGCGACAACAATTAGCGGAAGAGGGTTACTTCCAAACGCGCATGCACAAGTCAAACCACACTGTTGCAAGGAATATGATTTAGTTTTATTTTTTTTCGACACGAATCAATTTTTTGCCAATCATACTGGTTTCCTTGATCATTGGATAATATATTTGAATTAGTCATGAAGTATACGTGAAATAGACTTTTTTACATATTAAATTATTTTATCAATTTCATATTATTTACATTATAAATTTATTATTATTTTAGATTTTAAAAGCAATTTTTTATCGATGTAAAAAATTAGGCATCAGATCATTAGGCAGAATATAGGTATATTTTGATAGAAAACTTAACCCGGATCGAATCCCCTTAATAACATCGTAATATTTTTTTTATATATGCATTATATTTCAAAAAATACTAAAATATGCATAATAATTTGAAATGTTCCAAATATGCCAAATTTAATTTCGCATACCAACACATTAGATTAAGATTCAAATTTCTATCTTACCTAGCTACTTTTTAGTTAAATATATAAAAATATGCAAATACATACAATTCCGCGCCTAGTCATAATATAGAGAGCACCGTAGCTGCTTTTTTATAAAATAGCACAGTAACTCCGCATTACATTTTTTTTTCGCCAGTTCTCCAATAACTTATCCAGGTTTTATTGAGTAGTTTTTTTTTATTGATAATATATCCAAATAACCAAAAGTTAAACCCAAGTTGTTTATACAAATTGTAAGTAATACAAACATTAAAATCAATAAAAACAACATATAAATTAATATTCCCTTTCTCAGTACCTACGTAGCAAGTTTTTTATGACTAACCTTTTTTTTCTGGGAGTGTCGAGACCCGTGACCCCCCCCCCCCCCCTATAATACACCACCGATTTCCTTAACTATCAAATTTAACCGAGAATGTTGGTGAATCACCCAATATACTCATAGATTATATTAATTGATTAATTCACGTTACTGGTATTATTTTGTGATTATGATTTGTAATAATGTTATTATATCGTTTTTAGAATCCGTTTTCAGCCGATGAATCCAAGCGAAAACTTCAACCATCTAACCGTTCGCACTCAGCACCCGGAGCATGCTCTTGGTTTGGATCAAGGTGAGTTTAGTTTTTAATATTTTAATAACAATTAATTTTTTTTTCTAAATAATTTAACAATAGTTATGATCGGCTTTGTTTCCGTAGTATTAGCGTTACATTTATTTCTAAATTCCAATTACAAATTTGTTACAAATAGCATACTAATAATGGTAGTTTAAAAATATAATCATAATTGGCAGCTATATATGAATATATACGTATTATTTCCAATGGCAGCTATATATGTATATATACGTATTATTTCCAATTCAATACTAATTGATGTAAATATTTTAGTGAATCATTAAAAATAATATTCAGAATGAGAATAAGGCTTTAGGTTGAATTTGAATTTCTTAATCACCAATTTATTTAATGTCTTAATCTTAATTTTAATGATTTGTAGATTAGTAGGTTGAGGTACTCATTAACTATATTATCTTAAAAATATAATAACCATTTTCGAGTCAAACATACAAACCAATTAGTATTATGTATTTCCTGCATTTACTTTATTTAGATTTAGTTCTGAATGTAATCATGTTTAAATTAAAATTACATTATAATTGGAAAATACATGGAATCCGTTATAAACTTGATTAATAATATTAATGTTTGTGATTTTTTTTACGCTATCGTATACAATTTTTGATTATACTATTAAGTTACTTATAATTACTACTTACAAAAAATCAAAATATACCAAGATAATAATTCGTATTTTTATTTAATCTATAGGTCATTATCCGTGGATACTACCAATCTACAATCAGTCAAAGAACATGCTGTAAAAGAAAAGTGACTATGATATATTATGTTCTTATTTTACTTTAACTCCCTCTTTTTAAATTATTTAGTTTTAAAATGTTATCTAAAAAAAAAAAATATTTTTATGAGAGCACTTTACGAAACCTATTTTAAGACGTTTGATCAATTATTTCAACAGTGTATTTTCATGTGATTTATTTATTTTATATAATTGAATATTGACCTATTATAGTATGTCCAAATACATACATATTATGCTTTTACTATTTTTATATCTATTTTATTTATAAATCGTGATTGTGCATAACTTTAATGTCATCTAATATCTATTATTACTTCATTTTTTTACTCTGTGTGAATAAAAACTGAATGAACATCAATAGATTTGCTATAAATTTCTACCTACCTTGTCATCTAGTAATTATTAATTTCAATAATAATTATAAATATAACCGCAAATAACATTACACTTCAGACTCCTCAATAAATAATATAAAAAAACAAACATAGATTTACAAACTGTATGATAATATCAACTATCAAGCCAGAATTAAGACCTCTAAGAGTCAAAGAGACGTACCCGTTATTCAATTTTTACATCCTCCCATTTCTATACACAAATATTTGATACGAATTTCGAAGGTACTCACTTGTATGTATATTTTTATTTTTTATATACAATTTTATAAACGACAATGACTTCTACTAAATTGTGAGTCTAAAATACATAATTCAGGAAAGATAATCTGCAATAAACCTTCTTCCACCACCCTGGTAAGGGTTACCAAATTAAAAATAATATAGTCGTGGTTTTGGAGAAGAATTATTTGGGAGGCACAATTGTCTCTGAGATTTTTAGGAATGTGTATATATCATAGGTATATAAACTACAACCAGCAAAGATAAATTCAATATTTTTTCCAATACAAAACAATACGTAAAACATATAAACATTGATTATAGAATAGATTATTCTATAAAACACTATAGTGCAATATAATCGTATTACAGTATATTCTTTACTCGATATTCTAATATTTCATCAAAAACCTTAAATATGGTGGGAGTTTTTGGTACGTTGGTGGGTGATGGGCAGTGTTGGGGAATAACTTAAGTTATAAGCAGGGCTCATAACTTATAGCTCTAAAAAAGGTTGTTATAAGCACTTAAATATGCTCTAAAAAGTATTCATATAAGCGCTTAAATATTCATTAAAAATAATAAAATATACAAAACAAACGTTTGTAGACAAAAATCATTATTTTATTATTATTATTTATTATATTATTTTATTATTTTAGCTTCTATTATTAAAAGAAAAAAAAATTAGATACAGAATTCACGAAACGAACTAGCATGCATACAGTACGAAAAATCGGAAACGACTGCAAAATAGGGATGTGTCGTTCATGAACGACCTAGTTCAATGAACGATTGGTTGATGAACGAACGATGAACGAACGAACGATAAGAATAATTAAATCGTTCAATCGAGAAAGATTTATTAATTTTGAACTACCATCGTTTTGAACAGTGCAACCATGCAATCATACCACTATCATACCGACGACTCCTTCGTTCGCGAACGACACGCCTCTAATTCAGTCAATCCGTGTATCGTTCAGTGAACGATGAACGAACGAACTACTATATCTAACTGAACGAAACTTCAAGTTCCCAATTTCCCATTCCCAATTAAACAGAACTATGAGGTATACATGACATAAGTCGTGTATCGTTCAGTGAACTAGTTCATTGAACTAGTTCAATTAAGTGAACGATGAACGAACGAACTAGTTCACTCAACTGAACGAAACTTCCCATCCCTACTGCAATATGTTAATGAAAAAAAATCTGTAAATAATCTGAAAATTATGATATCGGAATATCTAGATAATGATATCGGAATACCCGAATACCTGGAAACTATAAAAATAAAATACTACAGTACAAGCTACAATTATATACAATTATAATGGTTTCCTTATTGATAGGATTACGAAGTTTTGGGCGAATACTCTCGCTATTTCGCGCGTTGCCTAAACTCGTATAGGTATATATAGTCTCTTCTAATATTATTATATAAGTTATGTAAGATGAAAAATTAATTAACACGAATTAATTACTAATATGAACAATTAATATGACTATAATTACTTGTTATTTTTAAAAAATAATGTTTTAGGCAATTAACAATTATTTTAAAAAAATCAATAATAAAAATCATGCAAAAATCCAAAAATAAGCAAAAAAAAAAGCGAAAAAAAGCAAAATAGCACTTATACTCCGAAATATGCAAAAATATGCAACATAAAATTTCGTATGTATCTTCTTGGTTATCTGAAACAAATTTATAGTTCACATAAGTACCTCTAGGACCTCTCAAAAAAAAATATGCAAATTCTAGAAGTTATGAGCCCTGGTTATAAGTTAATGTAACGAAATTACTTTTTAAGTAATTTGATGGTAATTTAATTACATTTTATTGTAAGTAACTCGAATGTAATTAAAGTTACTTTTTTATAGTAATTATTACTGAATTACTCGTTACTTTTTTTTTGTTTAATATATCTTAAGAACAATAAAAACTTATTGATAATGAGTGTCACAGGCGCAATTATGGGAGGGGTGGAGGGGCTAAGCCCCCCCCCCAAAAAAAAAAAACCATACAGAACTTTATATTATTATATTGATAAATAAAAGAAATATGTGATTACTACTGAAAAAAGGAATAAAATACATTTTTGTTATTCTCTTTTTAGTAACAATATTATAATCATGATAAAATAAAAATAAAATTAGAAATGTCTGGTCGACGAAAAGAAAAATTACCAAGAATCCAATAATTATAACTTTAAATAATTCGATATCAGTTTTATTTCAAGAAAACAATATATATAACGGGCTATAAAAACTATTTATTTTGAGTTTTGGTCTATTACGATTTTGAGCAACACGGAAAAATTATTTTAAAAGGAGGGTAATTTTTCGTACTACCGTGACGGAAGTGAGATTTTTGAGGTGGGACAAATGGTATCCCACCGTGCCGGAGAGTTAAAGAACTTATAACAGCAACTATTTGCAAAAGTCTTGCAAATGTATGTTTAGATGGGGTCTGTTCTAGGTTTGACCTAATGTTGCTTGAAAAATTTAATATTTTAGCTATTGCTTCTCATCCAAAGTTTAAGTTCAAAGGTATGTCAGTAATGGAAAAAAAAGAAGCCACTGACATTCTTCAAAGTGAAATAGAATATTTCAAACCTGTTAATGATAATACTTTAGAGCAAAATCAAGTTGAGGAAGTCAATGATAACATTATTTTGATGAAGATATAGAACAAGAACATTCTAATGCTGAACTTGAACGATTTTTATTTACTCCTTTTATTGGTGATTTAACTATTTTAAAAAACATTCCAATAACGAGATTATTTTTTTTTAAGTATAATACTGCCTTACCTTCAAGTGTTTCTATTAAACGTTTGTTTAGCATAGCTGGAGATATATGCACTAAAAAGCGATCTAAAATTAGTGACTGTAATTTTGAAAACGCATTGTTGTTTAAAATAAATTTAAAAAATAAAGATTAATATTTAATGTGTATAAAAATTAATATTAATTGTTAATAATTTCATATTGTTGATTGTCATTATTTAGTTTGTGTATTGTCATATAGATAAAATGGACAAAAGTATTAAGCTTCAGTGATATTTAAAAAAAAAAAAGTAACTTCTATCGTAATTGAGTTACATTTAAAACTCAAAAGTAATGTAACTTGACAAAATGAAAAAGGAGTAACTTAAAAATAATAGATTACAATTTTGCTAAGTAATTAGTAATGTAATTTAATTACCTAAAATAAGTAACTTCCCCAACACTGGTGATGGGTGATTGTCACTAGACAATAAAATATCAATTCTCTGTACATTTTAGTTCACTGCACCAACGTCGTGTCACTCATGTTCTTTTCGGTTTTTTTTTTTTTTTAGAACCTTTGGTTATTAACTATTACAGTTCAACAATTACAGATAGTGATTACATAAACCAATTAAGAAATTAAAATAACATTGAGGCAATAGCAATTGGTGATAACTAAACGTTAAGTATACAAAAGATGTTGATAAGAAATAATGATTATTAATTTGGATTCGGGAAGATATAATTAAGGAGAGACAGTATTTTTAGATAGTAATGAGTGATATAGATTCGTTATTAGAATTGTTTGAGTTGCTTGAAGTTGCTTCTGCGTATGTCTTGGCCCTGGATTTTTCTTTGTGTCGGGTGTGCGTGGACTTCTGATCCATAACCTTTTCTTTTCCAACTCCTGTCGCAATAAATGATAAATCACAATAACTCCCGCGCGAACTACAGCTTCCGGCATTTTGACCAGTCACTAATCGCTGGCACACTTGCGATTTCACCAGCTAGGGCGATTACATTGAGCGATTTCACTCGTTGGAGTGTAAAAACGTCAGTGACTAGTGACTAAAGTAGCCCGGCCGTTAACATTAATCGCAAGCGAGTAGCGAGTATTCAACACGCGGAGAGTAAGCGACTAAGCTGATTATATTGAGCGACTTTAGTCGCAACGAGTTAATTCGCCGGTGCCTAGAGTGTAAACTCGCTCAGTGTAATCGAGGCTTTAATATTTAGTGATTTAAAATTCCAGAGGCCAAACGTCCTATGGGAAGGTAGAAATAAATCTATATCATTACCGGGGACAATATGTCCTATCTTAATAATAGACGGGGACGAAACGTCCGTGGATTGTTTTTTTGATGGAGACGAAACGGCAGGAGCGAAACATCCGAGAACCGTAATAGACAAGTGATATCGGGAGATGCGTTGATTGCGTTGGTTTTGACGTTACAATATGGGGGGGGAGCTGATACCTCAATCATATATTATATTATTCTGTGCCATAACTATTAGTGACGCATATCAGATACGAAAGGTTAAAATAGTGAAAATTGTCAAAAAAAAACAAATTTAAATGCTTTTTAAAAATTGTAAGAAAGACGACATATAACGTGCGGTTCCCAAGAAAACGACGTCGTAACAACCTAAACTACACTACGTAAATGGATGCTAGAAAAGGTTACGGGAATTCGCTTCTTCGGATGAAACATTTTAATCATTGTAAATACAGTACGTGAATATTGTTAATGTAACATGGTTTTCCCATACTATACTCTGTGAGGTTCACCAAAAATGTATATTATTTTCATATTTTCTCTTCATACTCTTGTGTGTGCAACACTGTTAAAATTTTCTCTTCCACGAATTACCTATTATTCTCGTACTCTAAAATCAGCGGATTGATTTTTTTTCTTCATATGCACTATCATTTTTTCGCACTCCATTTTTCATACCATAATCGAGAAATAAAGTATTTTCTTTCTGAAATTTAAAGTTTGCAGGTTCCAATTTCAATTTGACACTGTATTCATCGATCAATATTTACAGGTAATTAAATATCTATTACAAAAAGTTTATCACCTCGTATACATTTCTGTTTATTTTTCTGTTTAATGTGTGTATAACTTGTATAGAACGTACATCTTACACGTAAATAAAACATTCATTCCTAAAACATTTTGTGGTATGTTCATAAATGCACGATTATAATTAATTCTATCATATGTGCAGTATTTAATCATTTATGAAATATAAGTAATTATATGCAAATTCAATATCAAAAATTACTTGTTTTAATGTTGATTATTTAAAAGACCTTCAAAGGTCAACAATTGTATATAAATCGTGTTAACTTTTTATTTTATACGAATTAGATTGGTATATATTTATTTAATGTATTATTTTAATATTATGGTTGAATGTCAATAAACATGACAATTATACACTGGGCATTGTTATTTTATTCAAGTTTTTCATATTTTTTTAAGTCAACTAATAAAGTTATCAAAATGTGCATAAACTTGTTAATTGGCTACTAAGCTGAAGAAGTTATTACTTTATGATACCGTGAATTTTGCCTCCCGTTGGCTTAAGTAAAATTTTCTGATTTTGGAATCATAATGTGATGTGCGAGAGTTTATTGATTATAGGTGACGAGAAAAAAAGCTGATTACAAAGTGCGATTGCAATCATGGCCAGTTATAACAATCAACAAGCACAAAATGCATTTAAAAATGATGGTTCATTTTTAGAAGTATTTAAACGGTTTCAACAACAACAAAAACAACAGACACCACAACCATCAAAAGCTGAAATACAAGTATCACAAACTACATCATCTACTGCTGCTGCTACCACTTTAGCTGTTGTCTCAGAAAAACGAGCTGAAACTGTAAAGATATTGCCTATAATTGGCAAACGTAAAAATAAAGCTTTAAAAACTGGTATAGTAAAAAAAATAAAGGTGGATGATGAGAAAAAAACATCAAAACCCACAGATGCTTGGTCATTATATTTAGATGAAGTTAAACGTTACCAAGAAACTGTTGGAGAACAAGATAATAAGACTAGACCTCTTGTTAAATAACTGATAACCAAAACACATTATGTAAATATATTTGTAAATAATAATACATTTTGTAAAACAAATTAATATTGACTTATTATTTTTTTATTATTATTTTTTTTTTTATCTTGCAATTCAGTTTTAATTGTTTAACTTCTATAATGTTGGCTAATGTTGACTTAAACAAGTTAATATTAATTTTTTTTCAATATGTTATCAAATAATATACGAGTACACAATTAAATTATGTTCATTTTAACTAAATAAATGTGTTCTTAATTAAAAAAAATGTATAGACATATATTATTGTTATTTTAGCATATTTATTATTGTTTTAAGTTGATTCGACACTTCAGTATTCCTAACATATTTTTTATACTACTTTTCACATCTAAATAATAACGTATAAATTTATTTTTTCCCTTAACATAAAAATTCACTTTTAAAAGTATATAAAAAATTATTATTTTATGTACAATCAAAAAAGAATTCATTGATAATGATCTAATTTTATTCATAATATACATAAAGAATCATATTGAAGTATCTTAAAACAAATCTAATATTAATTAAGTAATTACAAATTTAAGATTTCCAAAAATTGAAGTTTTCATATTGTTATGTCCAAATCTCAATATTTATATTTAGTTGATAATTTGTTTTATTATTATATAAATTATGTATTTGTTTGATGAACATATTGTTTAATCTATAATTAAACTATGTGTATTTCTAAGTTTTAAAATAAAACAATAAGTATTGTAAAATTATTGAACGAGGATAAAAAAATAATTATATATTGTACCGAAAAGTCTTAATAAATAAAATATATATATTTACATTTAAACTATTGCATTTTAGATAAAGTATTTTTCAATTATTGCATGAAATAATATAATAAAATAATTGAAATTATAGTTATTAATTAACTAATAGTAAGTATATTAGGAAAATTACTATTTATTGTGTTAAAATTCATGTTGATGTAGATGCTTAAATGTTTAAGAAAAATACGACTATCACTTTTATAGTTTTATCTAAAAAATATTAATTAATTATTTTATAAAGATTTCATTTATTTAGTAGTTAATAAAAAACCGAAGATAACATTGCTTGAGTATATTGTGTGTTATATTATATAAATTTAGTTATAATATTTTAGAATAAATTGTTTTATCGTTTATTATTTTATTTAAAATTCAAAATTATATTAAAATTTATTTATGGGTTCAGCAAATCAAATTAATCATTTATAATTATTAACATATTTAAATGTTTTTCTAGCATATTCTGAAAAAATGGTGCTTGAAGTTGATGGATTCAAATTTGAAACCGCGCCATGGGATCCGCGTTTCCCCAATACCAATCAAACCAAGTAATACTTGGTTATATAGTTTTATATATATATATATATAGTTATTCTTTTGCTGATTAGATGATACATTTATTACATATGTTTTTATTTATTATTATTTTTGTAATACCATTTAAATTCAATTCTCTATTCTTATAATTACAAGCCAAAAAATATTCTATATTTACTTTTATATATATAATTTATTTGATATTTAATTTTTTTAAATTTTATATTTAAAATAACTTATCAAATAATTTGTTCATCATTATTCCTTAATTTAACAAGTATTTTAATGAAGACCTTGATTTTTCTATCGAATATGTTTCACTTTTGGTATGCATTTTAATTTCAAATACAATTTATTATCTACCTTAGTGAGTAAAATAATAGTTTATGTTACCCGATAAAAATTAAATTTGTAAATGTTATCACTTGAAATTTGTAATAATAAGAGATTTTGTCCAAACTCAGTGATATTACTATAAAATATCTAGGTTTCCTATCAAAATTACTTTATAATTAAAGAAATAAAAAAATTTAAAATATAAATTAGAGGCTTAGTTATAAATACATAATATATTAGATACTGTCATAGTAGTTATATTTTACTAAATACGTTTTTATTTTTTATCATAGGTACTGTTATCAAAGTTACTTGGATTTTCACCGTTGCTCAAAATTAAGAGGTGAAGAATTTGAAGCATGCCAGTATTATAAACGTGTCTACAAGTCTATTTGCCCAAATGCATGGATTGATAAATGGGATACTCAAATTGCAGAAAACCGATTCCCTGGCAATATTTAATTCATTTATTTTGAAATAAATTTCAAAAAATGCAAAAAAATAATTAGTGTATAACTTATACAACATAATTTCTTGTTTATAGTTTTGTATGTTACTATAATTATGTGAACAATTAGACATACAATAAAATTTCATTATTTTATTTTTTGTTTTTTAAATTATTAATAAATAATGCAATTGTTAATTAATGTTTAGCATTCATTAATTTTATTTTTTTAGAATGACATACATCAGTCATAATCAATTGAAGATGCACATTATTCATTAACCGTTTTGTAATCAGTTTTCACTTTTAACTTAAAATATTTTTTCCTATATATAGTATCATAAGATTAAATAGTACATATGTTGATTACTACACATACATCAGGTAGATAATGGTTTATGTATACTGTTTTGTCATGGATGATTTATGTAGTATGCACATTGCAGTGCTTATATATTTAACATTTTAAATGTTCTGTAAAAGCTATAACTTCATTACTTATCACATTCATGACATTTGCTATAATTTTTTTTTACCTCGAAACATATGGTGAAATAAAAGAAAATAATAATGAGCGTGCAAATACGATATTAAAACAATTGATTACTAATTATTTTTTACATTGCGTTTTTATGTGTGCTTTGTACGTTGTTATTTCTTAATACATAATTTGTCCTAAATAAGATGATTTCAATTAATTTATTATGTATTTATATATATATATATATATATAAAACCAAAAACAATCAAAAATGGAAATCTTTGTTATGGGTTGGCTTCGAAACTACTTATTCAATCATTATTAAAGAGGACATCATAAAGCAGGTTTTAGTCATAAAGTTAATAAATAATAAGTTACAATGAACATGTAAATTGTATAACTATAAACATACTGTGCAACCTGTAGGTTTTCAGCTACTTACAACCTGACTTTTTTTTTATCTATTGATAGACAGACATCAAGATGATGCTATTAATATTCTAATTTAATTTTTGAATTTTTTAAATCCAGCAGGACTTTCTTCGCATAAACTTGACTGGAAAATTGGAACTCCAATAATACTTATAAGGAATTTAAACGCAATGATATAAGATTGCAGATAGTTACATGCAGAGGAACATAATTGAAGCTAAAATTCTTTACGACTCGGTCCAAGGTCAAGTTTTTTTTATTCCCTGGATACTGATTAATAACAATTTGAATTTATACGAGTCCAATTTCCTATAAAGCTTTATTTTGCCATTTCAATAAGGCACAGGGACAGACACTAAAGGCCACAGGCCTTAATATCACGAATCCCTATTTTACTCACTAACAATTTTATGTTATTTTCTCCTGTCAGCTCGATAAAGAACTTTTATGTAAATACATCTCACCAAAGAATAAAAATTAATATTTATAAAGCATTATAACTTTAATATAAATATGTACAGATATTATATAAATAAAGAAATACCTCCTGGGCAGCAAAGCCAGGTAATTCAGCTAGTAGGTCTAAAAATACTGATATTAGATCATTATTAGACAGGAAAGAATAATTTCCTGAAAAAACATGATATTAATAACCTATTATTATTAAACATTACATGTTCTATATATGATGCATGCAACATAGGGATTTAGCTGTTTTCTATTTCCAACATACAGATCGATCAATTAATAGAAAACAAGGATTTTGGAAACATTTTAATTAGCAGTAAAGTCTACTTTAGATTGATTATCCTACTTAATTTAATTTGTATCTTAAAATATTACAAAATATAATTTAACAAATTGAAAGCAATCTAGTTTATTTTTTATTGTTATTTTTATTACAATCATGACTAAATTGATATTTTTGGAGAAAAAATTGAATATTATCCCATGACAGATAAAAAGATGAATTGATTGTAAAAGGATTGTCAATTAAATTTATTATTCAATGATCAAAGTCCAATTCCAATCTTAAATAATATTTAAAATGTACCTTTTTATCTATGTTCATTAATAAATTATTACGTCAAAAATAAATACATTTTTTTTTTTAAATTAATTATATATTTAAATAAACTGCTGCTAAAAACATAATTTATAGTCTCAAATTAATTGAGAATAATTAGTTAAAATAAATGTTTGATACTTACTGAATATAAATTTAAATATTATTTCAATACACAATAATAACAAAATGTAATCTTATTGAATTTATTAGTAATTCAGTATTAAATAAATATTAACTTTTAGTATGATTAAATATGAAAGTAGAACTATTTATTTAAATATAGGTAAAAAAAAATGTATAATAATACAACTGGAACTGCTTTAAAAAAAGTAAAAAAAAATTTAAATGGTAATAAAATAGTAAGGCAGTTGAACATTAGGTACTTATTACTTGTATTATAACTCTAATAATTAAAATTAAACTCCACTTGGACCAAATAACGAAGTTTTACCTGAGAAATGTCATATACAATAAATCTGATGAAGGAATGGTTAAAGAAATTTCCATTGGAACAAATTTATGAGAACTATAGGATCTTAAATCTGTTTACATATATTTAATAAATATTAAATAAACAATTTGACAAAATAAAAATGTTTTACATTTCATTGATCATTATGTCAGTATTTATATATATATATATATATATATTTGTATTTTGTATGTTTTTAATATTTGAGTACAACAAATTTTTAGGATGCTCAATTGTAATATTGAAAGTAAACATAAATAAATAAATTTATTAAAATGTATTGCATATTAAATTAAATATAATTCTTAAGAACTTATTATTATTGAACTATTTTAATTGATGATTGCAGTAATGTCATTGGTCACATATTTTATTAAATTGAGATATTAGTTAAAACATGTACTAGTTATGTATTTCTGAGTTTACTGTAAAAAAAAACACTGATAATTATTTTTTATTTATCTGATGAAAAAAGATTATAAATAAAGAGCTTTTAACACTCAATGGAAAGAAACAAATAACTAGCATACATTTTTACTAATATCTCAATTTCATAAAATATGTAACTCATGACATTTCTGGAATCATTGATTCATTTGTAGTAAATACAAAAACAAAATAAATATTAATTATTTCATTCTAAAAATTCATTCATTGATCTATAACTATTCAAACTTTGAGAATGTGAAATAAAAATAAAATGAAAATTGCAATTTTAACTTTTTATGTAATAACTGCATACAAATTTAAAATATAGAGAGAATATATTTTGTCTCGAAATTATAAAATAATAAAAACATAACAAAATTTTTTTTTCTAATATAAAAAAAGGATACTCATTGTAAAGTAATGAAGTGTCATCAACATTGGAAGGAATTGGTTTGCCAATAGGAACCTCGAGTTTATCATCAATAAATAATGATTCAGCAGGATTTGGCACTGTCCTACCAATTCCCTTACAGCTGTGTTTTCCAGGTGGTAGCTTTTCTATATATTCAGATTGTTTATGTTCATCCCTACTCACAAATATAGTTTATTCAAGTTTTGTATTCATACATTAAGTTATACTTTAATACATACATATTACCCAATGCAACATCGCATAATAGTAATAAACCAGTATTATTGCCATGAGAAACCATACAATAGTTAGCTGATTTTGATACCATGTCAGCAAAATAAATACCTTTACCGAACATGTAACCAGTTACTGGAGCTTCTTTGGGAGCAATACGTAAACCCTAAAATATAAAAATTAAATGAGTTTTAAATATAATTTAAAAAATGCAATTTTAAGAAATATACTTGAGAAAGAATAGCAGCAAAATTAGTAATCCGTGAACCATGCCATAATAGTTTATGATTGTGTAACTTTTTGAATGGTTTGAATCGTTTATCTTCGCCAGTTCGATTTACTTTGAAAACATTTTTAATACTCAATGAATAAGAACTATGGGTTTCAGCATGAGTATTTTTAACATACTGCTCAATAATACTGTACTCATTCATATCTGAATGTATTACCTGAATGTTCAAAAAAATTAATATGTAAAAAATAAGAAATAATTCTGTTAGTGATAATATATTTATTAATTACATCAATAGAACAGTTTAATTTCATATAGTGTGTATCAATGGGATGTAATGTTGAGTCTTCAGTTTTCACTTCCATCAAACTATAAGCTATTTGAATTTCTAACAAACTTTCAATCATTTCTAATTTTTCCTAAAATAGTAAATACAGATAGGTTTTTAAATTTTCTTTAATTTCAAACATTAATTCAAAATAAAACAATTTTATACTTTAAGAATTTCTTTTGAATCAATAAGTTGAGGGGTTTTGACACCGAAATCATGTGGTATCAGAGTATAAAACTTATTGGTAGTCATAATAACTTTTTCTTTTTTGCTTATTTCATCACAAGAATCTATTATACTATTTAGTTCACTTAAAGTAGAATATGCATGTTGCAATTGGTTACGGCTCAATTTTCCTAAAGGCATCTTTTGTAAATCTAACTAAAATACAACCATAAGAAAATTTAAAAAAATAATAACAACTGAGTATGATGAATTAATTTTTTAACTTACTTCAAATTCATACAAAACTTTTTTCATAGATTCCACATCAAAAAGTAAACGTATCAGATTTTGTACAGGTTCGGATAATTTACAAGGTATGTTACTCTTAAAATCAATACTTTTTGCTTCATCCTAAAATACGAAACAATAAAATAAACAAACAAATATTTTTAAATATTTCCATAAAATTAACAAAAATGAATCAAAAATTATAGAAATTTCAAATAAAAAAGTTATGACATATAAAACACGGAAGATCTTTCATTAAGTATTAAGCTTTCATTTAATTTAACTTAAACTGTTGAATAATAAATTTAATTACAATATAACTGTTAAGATAAATATCATAAATAAAATATAGATTATATAAATGGCCATTCCCAGTTAATTTGTAAGTCTTCAAGTCAAGATTATTGGAATATTCAATTATACAATATAATTTGTAATATAATTCAAACTCAGTAAATATATTTTCAAAATAGTAGTAGACAAAAAAAAGAATATTTAATGTAAAAAAAAAGATTCACAAATATAGAAAACTTTAAAAATTTAAAAGAATCATTGCAATTTTATCAATAATGTAAAACCCTAAACATATTATAATTAATAATCAGAAAATATATTTAAAAAAATGGACAGTTAAAAAAAAATTAAAAGTTAGCAATTTATTTAAAATATATACTAAGTATAAGAGAAATATAAGACGAAATTGCTATTCATTTCTTAGTGTTTATAATTAATGTATTTAAAATTCATATTACCTGTCCATAATCAGTATCAACAGGAATTTTTTTACCCGGTATTTTAATAAAATGTTTGCTATTTTTCCATAAATTTCCTGTTTGTTCTTCATAATAAGATTCAAAATCATGTTTGGCATCATTTAAAGTATCATACTGTTTTGTTTTACAACCACCTATTGTTGTACCAATTCTTCCCCAAGAACGGAATACCCAATAACTATAAGAAATTAAACTATAGTTAATACTGATATGATAAATAGAACTTTTAACTAAAGATATTTAAAATACCTGTAATTTTTATTATCAGACTCTAGTAATTGTAATTTATAATAAGAGTTTTTACCAGTCTGTACATCAGACAAACATAAATTTGCATTCCACACTTTATCATTATGCTTATAAACATGTGCTTTGTGTTCAAGTCCAGATTGTGGTTCAACAGCAACTCCTCCCTTTAAAATCAACTTTACGCTTGTTGGCACACTTTTTTCATACATACTTTTTCCATAAGAATTACTTTTCAAATTTCTTTTGTTTTTCTCTTCTACTTCCAATTCATTTTGTCTTTTTATTATTCTTTCTTTAGCCTAAATTAAAATAAAATAAATTAACATATTCATCAAGAAATAAATGTATTATTTACTTTTCCTCCCCAAGGAGCTAGGTTTTGTTCAGATATCAAGTCAATTGCATTACCACCTTTATCAATAGCATCAAAAAATGTAGTGGGATTAACAACTTCAATATCTAATTCTTGAGCTTCTTTTATTTTAACACTTTTTTTACCAACACTGTCTGTTAAAAATTTAATTTATATTTTATTTGAGGATAAAGTAAATAATATAAAAATATTCCTAAAAATTATCTAAGTATAAATATAACTATTTTAAACAAATAAACTAAATCCTAAGTTCTTCTAAAAAAAAAAAAAAAAAAAAAAATTAAAAAATAAATAGGAAATACCTTGATAGGCAAAAACTGCAGCAACATTTTTAGTACATTGAGAAACTAATGTACCACCAAACTTTGATACTTTCAGTTTTATTTCTTTTAATTCTGAACCTTTTAATATAGTTGTAAATTCCATATTTTTTAAAGGTACAATACGTGTAACTTTAATTCTGAAATAAATTTTTTGTACCCAATAAATACATAAAATAAAAAAAAAACTTTAATGCACTAATAATTATAACTTACTCTCGCTTATTGTTTGTAGTAGTTGATGATGATTCTTTTGATGAAACTACAAATAATCGATTATGAATATTGCATTTATATTTTTTACTACAAAATTATTAAAATTAAAATTAATAACAAATTACTTAGTTTTAATAAATAATAAATTACTTACAGAAATGTATCATCTTCAAGTAGATGAGAAGGAACTCTGAATTCAATACGAGGTGGATTGAAGAAGATTTTTTCACATTTTAACCATTCATTTTTATAACCTAAGCATTGATATCCAATACCACTTCTAAATACAAGTTGACCATTACATTCATCACAAGGTAACAAAGTACCAAAAGACATTATATCTGACAATCTATCATATATCTAAAATACATATAAAAAAATTTAAGCAAAATTGTATGATATTTAATAAGGTAAATCAAATTATACTTTAAAATTTTCAACCCTATGAGTTTTTAATTCATTTTTCTGGGTAATATATCTTGTGATGAATATTATAAATAAAAAAAAAAAAATTTAGATCAAAATCTCTAAATTGAATTAATAATTTAAATATTAATTTCAGTAGTTCTTAAATTTGTTACTAATGTGAAAAAAAAATCAAAGATACTTCTATGCATTTTTAACATATAAAGTATTGAACAATAATTTTAATTTTCTTTTTAAAATAATATAATAAAAAAGAAAAATATATACTTCACTATTTTCAACTATTCAAAAACTGATCTAGATTATATTCTTATATAGAACTTTAAATTAAAAATTAAAAACTAGTTTTATTAATTACATAAAAAAAAACCATATAATATTTATAAATATTTAAGTAGGTATGACAAAATGACAAATAATAATTATTTAAGTTTTTTTTTATTTCATATTATCTTTATAAAAGACAAAAAAATCTTAATGTTGTTGGTGTTGAAATTAAATAAATGATGTTAGTTGGACGGAAGTAATACAACAAACAGTTTCCGCGTGACTATCGATTCTAAAGCGTTAAAAAAATGTTTTGAAATAAAAATAATATGCTATTGATATAATATAAATGTATATCAAATAATGTCTTATTTATTTTAAATACTTACTGCTCCAAGATTAGACTCTGGTATTTCTTGTTTATTATATTCTAAAAGTTCTTTGCATACACTAGAGCGTATAGTTTTTAAATAATCCAAATACTTAAAAATCAATTTATTTTGTTTTTTTATTGCTTCATCTGAAACATTCGGCTTAGACTTCTTATTAGAGCTGGGTCCATCAATTGTATCTAAGTAATCAGCTCTAAAAAACAACAATAAAACAAATAATATAAATAATGAAATAAAAATTAAATCCCAATAACTCACGTAGTAGTTTTAGGTGCAATGATAGGTAAAAGATTATTCAATTTAGTTATATCTTCTGCTTTTAAATTAGTAAAACCAGATAAAGTAGAAGCAGCAGCCAAGAAACCTAAATCTTGTCTAAGTTTAACAAAGCATTCTAAGTGATGCCATCTATTTATTCCACCAAAACGACGTGCTTCTTCAGCTTCATAATCCATTTTACCTACTCGAATATCCTCCTAAAAGACAATGTAATATACTCATATACTCGAACTATAACAAATTATGATAATAATAATGAAAATCTTTATTTTAATTAAAATATTTTTTCAAAAATATTAAGTCAAATAATTAACATCTTAAACGAATTAACATAATATAACAATTCTACTAACATTCTATACTCCTAATTGTACAAACAATAATTTAGTTCAAATTTTATATTAGACTTAAATTAAAAAATTAAATTAAAATTAAAATAAATTAAATTAAATTAAATTAAATTAAATTAAATTTAGACTTAAATACAATATTCTAACAAAATAAAATTTAATTCTTGAATGATACTGATTATATTATATTAATTTAGTTTTGTCATTGATATTCCAATGACAAAACTAATGGTTTTATAAAAATAACTCAAAGTTACATGAATGATGTTAAAGTAAAATAAAATAAACATGAACATTCAGTATAAAGAAATTATAACATAGAGATGTGATTAGATATTTATAGAAAATTCATTACAATACACAAAAACATATGTATATATATATTTGATAAATTCCTTTTATATACAAAATACATTTTTTTGTTAATTATAATATTAATTATTATTTATTCTATAAATTATGATCATAAAAAATAAGATAATTAATCTTACTTTTACAATTTTATCTTGACATCCACAACAAACAGCACGTCCTGATTTTGCATATTCCACATTAAAATCTTTGTTTACAGTTTGTTTTTTAGCAGTTTTCTTTTTTTCCGACACTGACTCAATAACAGTTCCAATAACAGACTCTATAAAATAAATTTAGATAAATATTTATAACTATGTTTATTATTATTAATAGGCGAGCTAGACAGAATTAATTAACATGCAGTACAATTTATAATATTTTAAAATTGGATTTTGATATACTACCTAATTTAGCTTGAATTTTTTTTTGATCTTCCCATCTAATTGACTCAAAGTGAGCAATATCTGAAACCTCTTTTGGACGCTGTTTTGCAAAAAAGCAACTAAAATGGTACCAATTTGGCATCTTACCATCAAACATAGGAGACTGTAAATAAAAATATGCCAATACTCATAAGCAAAATGATCATGTATTTTCTTAATTAAACGTTATTATTTTTTACTGTATCTATAATGTCACATTTTCACTAGAAACAAATCATAAAATTAGTGCCAGTTAAACCAGTCCAATATTAAAGTTCTATGTATATTATTTATTTTTTACTTTAAAATACAAAATTCTAGTATAATTTAAAAATGTAATCCAATAAAAATCAACTTAATAATAAAGACAAATATTTACAATATTTGCAAATATTTAAACAAAAAATGTAAATCTAATTTAAGTATTAAATTAATATTTCCATACTTGAATCATAACAGCAAGTCGTAAATGATCCTTTTCAATACTTTCTTTACATCCTTTACATTTTGCTCTGCTACTTTTCGCATATTCAACGCGATATGGACAGTCATCGACATCCATTGGTAATATAGTTTTTGAAGTATAATGTGCAACGAAACAAATCGAGTTGAAAGTTATGATGAAAAACGACTAAAAATTGTTAATATTTAATTATAGCAACAGACATTAAATACATGAAAAATGAAAGCATGAAAATATACACAACGCACTGTAAACCAATGAGGAGTAAGGTAACCTTACTAAGGTTACTCTCTGGTCAAAATCTTCGTCAAAAATGAAAAATATTAGGATTTTTGTGTTTGACACTACTTTAGATGATACAGATGACAGATCATAATGTAGTACTGATTTTGTTTATTATGATTTTGTGTAAAATCGTAATTTTTTTGATTAGAAGGCAGAAAATTGGAGGCAAAGTGGAAATGCCATTCAATATTCGGTATTTATTTAAAAAAAATCAACGTTGCACTTGAAATAATAATTGATAAGAGTGTTGATACAATAATTATTTATCAACGCATCGTGCACAATTGCATCCAAATCATTGTATCTATAATATTTATAATCAGGGTTCAGGACTTAAAATCATTAAAATAAGTGTTTAAAAACATCATTATAAGCACTAAAATAAGCATTTCAAAAATTTAAAATTAAGCAAAAATATTTATTAAAAAAAAAAAATACTATAAAATTCTTACTAAAAAATCAAACAAAATAAAAATAAATCTTCATTTTCAAGACTTTTAATGGATTTTCTAAGAGATTTTTTTGAAAAATAAAATGTAAACTATTCTCTCTGTACTTGATCGAATGATCAAAATTGAATTGATGTTTGACACTCAGTACTATTTTCAATATTGGAATATCATTGTTAGCCCTACAACGATACCTTGGACAACAACGAACTACGTAACAACGTAGATAAAATAAGAATTATTTTTAATTTTAATTCTATCAAAAACGACTTTGCAGGATAAAACTTTAAAAACGTAAAAAAAACTGGTCAAATAATCAAAAATAATCAGAAAAACTGGGAGTAAGCATTTTTTTGAAAAATTGCTAAAAAAAAGCAAAAAAAGGCACATCCAAACTTCATAATTATACGTGTTATAACTTGACATACGCTTTTATAGCACTCTGCTACATTTTACGTCAATCCATAAAAATAAGCAAATGCTTTAACTCCCAAGCCCTGTTTATAACTAATGGTAATGACAATAAAGTGAAAAAAAAACTTATTTATCATACTAACAAATAATTTAGTAAACACTAATACTTTTTTAGTGAATGAGTTTCTCATCCACTAAAAAAGTATATATAGAATATGCTCATTATGAGCATATTCGGCATTTATATTGATGCATTAATAAGTCAAGTCTCATAATTTGAGTACCTACTCAATAAGTTTGTAGAAACCAGACCAAAACAGTGAAGCAGTGATGAATGAGATCAGACACAGATACAAAGGGTGCAATGAGGGCTGAAGCCCCTCCCTCTTAGATATTAGGTTATTAGGTAGAATCATATCGAACGTAGGTACTCAAAATATTTAAAAAATTAGACGTAAGAAACACTTCGTACAAATTAACATGTACAATGAATTATGGTAGTAACTCAATTTACTAGCCCCCCTTTTTTCATTTCTAAATTCACGCTTAAATTAGATTAATTAACTCCAATAAAATAATTTTAGTTTTTCAAAAGAATATTCCCACTTTTCTATGCACAACAAAATGTGTAAATGTACGTTTCCCTGAAACATCCAAACGCAGCGTCAGACGCATTGTCATTAAGTATATACATTTTAAATGTGACCGCTTTTTTACTTGCGTTTAACGCAGCGTATCGGTTAACGACACAGTGCGTCCAGCTGCACTCCTAGTTCGGACTAGTGCTGCGTTCAGACGTCCTGCGTCTGTATATTAAAAAAATACTTTTTTTTGATTAAAACAAAATATTATATATATAAATTATTCAGAATATTTATTCCAAATATAAAACTGGTTATTTCCACTGATTTAATTAAATATAATTTATGTGCGTCAATATCAATTTAAGGGGATTGGAAGCTACGATTTTCTTTCTCTGTCTAACACACGTGCAGCATAGTAATTTAGACGTTTTCTAGTTCCAATGTACCGATCGATCTATTGATGCGATAAGGCAGTGCTTCCCAAACTTTTTTGATTCACGATACCCTTTTTCATCTAACGTTTTTTTAGGGCATCCTTCCCCAAGTCATAGCGTAATTAATCATAAGAAAAATGTTAAACCAGATAGTATTTCATGAGGGCATTGCGCCCCTGTACAGACATCGCGGCGCACCAAGGCGTCACGGCGCACACTTTGGGAATCGCTGCAATAAGGAATCTTAAAACAGCATTCGTCGCATAGAGTAATAATAGTAAGTAATTACTCTATGATTCGTCGTCAAGATTACTTTAGATCGACTTTCCCACTTTTTTGATTTTTTTTCCCCAAAATCCCATTAATTAGCTTTAAGCAAATTAGATACCTAAAAATCATCAAAAGTTAATTTTTCGATATTCTCAACACAAAATTTCTAAAATGTGGTAGGTACAGTAAAAATTTGTTGAACCGGAACGGTACCTAAACGTCTTTTTTTTACGAACCGGAACTGTGTTTCGGTGTGTTCTGGTCCATTTCGAGCCCTGGTTAAATGCCCGGTTTTTTCTACACCGTCGTTATATCTTAAACCAGGGGTCTTCAACTCATGGCTCACGGGCCGCTTGTGGCCCGCCCTGTCATAACATGCGGCCCCCGATTACATTTTAAATGTTTTCACATTAAAAATAAAATAAAAAAATTGTAATTAAAAAAAAAATGTTTATCTATTTATGTTTTAATAATAATAATGATTTGTAATTTTAAATGTATCCACCTAATTTTAATAAATGAAAAGAATAAAACTAAATTTTTATATGAAATACATGTTTTTACTACGATTGCGGCCCGCAATGTTTAAAAATAATAATTTGTGGTCCGTTGCATAAAAAGGTTGAAGACCACTGTCTTAAACTGTGGTTAAGATTTTATGAGATACAAGAATAGTTTACCCATGAACATTGGAAAAAATAACTCCAATGTTCACGAGTTTACCTTTATTATCTACAATTTTTCAAATGATCAATAATACCACACAGCTATGGGAAATTAATGAGGAATCCGTGTTTCGTTAAGTAGACTCACTGATTTTATTGAATTATTGGTCAGTGAAGATTCGAACATTTAATTTTATGCTTACTTCGTGGTGCAGTCGTGTCCTTGCCATTGAACTATATGATAACATTTATACTATATGTTATCATATAGTTCAATGGTCCTTGCACACCTTAGGTACTATTGTTTTTTACATAGATAATATAAGATATTCTTATATTATCTATGGTTTTTTATGGTAGTTCTTAGTGCCGGGCAAGCGGAATTGACAATATACAGTACTTCTATATTATGAATTTTGCAAAATCCGATTTCAGCCTATGATTATACAGTATTAAAATATTAATTTTAATTAAAATATTATGGTCTACGGGAGACGTTATCATCTATCAGCAATTCAAACGGGTTTACGATGATTTAGTATTTCGTATTTTGACGTGTCGCTTGCATTTCTGGCACTACGCAATACGTCTCTTATGACACGACTATGAAAGTACGGACAATGTCAGCCGTCAAACCCCAGTATTCGATTGGCAGTTCAGATTTGTTTGACTGCAGCTGAATCCTGCAGTGTAGTATTGCTGTGTGTAATGTACTAATAAGAGTTATCCCCGAAATTCAAAATTCGCAATATATTTCTTTACATTTTTATATACTATTTTGAATTTTTTATTTTATTTACTGTAAATTAATGTACATAAATTAATTTGATATGTGTAGGAAAACAACTTGAAAGTTCTTTTTTCATATTAATACATATTAATCATTTTATAAACTTAAAATTATATTACAGTTATTAACTGCATTCAAATGAAGTCGTTTTATGGAGATTAGTTGTTTTATCAGTGACATTCCCTTTGATATTTATAATTTAGAATACTAAATATTTCATAATAATCCTGATTTGATGAATATAATCTTATAATACAAGTTTGAATTTAAAAATATGTTATTAGAAATTGTTATTTTTTCTTTTATGTTTGAAAAATAATTTTGATTAAATAATGTTTTTACTTATGTGTTATTTTAATTATCTTGTTTACCTTAAATCATTATTGGAAATACGATACCATTAAATAACAAATAAATCACTAAATTAAAATGTTAGACTATTAGTTTCCCAATTCATACATATTATATTTTATTACAACATTTATAATTTATATTTATATTATTATAACATTTTTCTAGATCGAAAAAATAAATATGTGTAACATAAATGAACTATAAAATCTACTTGATATATGCATTTATTCTTCATATATTTAGTAAGTATATTTAGTTAATAGTATTTGTATTTATTTTTATTTATATCTGTACCAATAAATGTAGTTATTCTGATTAAATTTTGATTGAAAAAACTTTGACATTATGAATAAAAATCATTTTCAACTTAAAAAAAAAAAAAATATATATTTTATGTAAACTAAAATAGTTAACCCATTTATCCATATAGTTATATATTTCTTATGATTTCTAATTTTATAGTATAGTTCATATTTTTTTTTATGATTATTTAATATAATATAAATAATTTGAGATACATAATCAGATATTAATTATTTATTTTATTTATTGAAATTTTGTACGTTTAAATTAGGTACTATTTTTATGATTTTGTAAAATTAATAAATATAATTTATTATTAAAAATATTATCTATATTTTATTTATTTATTATTTGTAGCTCTTATGACCATGGACCTATTAAGTAGTTAATAATTAGTTAGTTCATTAATAATTATAAGCTAGTTAACTATTAAGTATAGCTTACATTTTTTTAAATTATTTACATTCCTACCTTGGAAAATTACTTATGTGTTCCTTCTATAGCAGTATAGACTTGCTTTATAACTTTAAATAATACTGCATGAGCAGTAATGTCCAGTTTCATCTGTTTTCGAGTTACTGCTACAATAGTAGTGACCAATTAAATAAATTTGACAATTCTCATAAATTATTAATGCTAAGGCCTTGAACGTGTTAATATTATTTGTCATTTTAACATGGAATCTTTATTGAATTAAAATTTTATGATTCTACATAAATCAATAATATTAACATTATTTTATATTTTTTTTTTATCTCATGTTTTCATTGATATTTCATTAAATTAACATGTTAATTTGTTATTCACAAATTTTTATTTTAACTAATCATTTTTTTTTTTTTTTGTTACTCTAAAGATCTTACTTTTATGTTCACATAATGATTTTTGATTGTTTGTAATACTACACTAAAGCTTATATACTTATAAAAAAAAATAATAAATTTGTTTTTATTATAATTTATATGAGATTTAATGATGTTAAATATGTAGAATTTATTTAAAATAACCTATTTTCACGAATCTTCATATTTAGAATATTCAATATGTTACACTATGAAAATTGGATAAAGAATAAAATGTTATTTTGTACGACATAAATTAATTAAACTCAGAATAATTTATTAAGAATGCATAATTCAATATTTGATTATTAAATATATATATATATATATATTTATTTTTTCATAGTTAAAATAAAATTGTTGAATGTAAAATTATGTAGTCAACTTAAATAATTTTAAATCAACTTAGATAAATTATTTAAATTTATATTATTTATTCTAAGATATTTAGAATTTATTTTTATATTTTTAATATTTGAAATGTATTTCACTACCTACTTAAATTAATAATATTTATTTAGTTTCATAATATGAATTATCATAAAATATATGTATATGATGTTACAATGGTAAAATTTTAAAGAATATAGTGTATTTGTTGAATAGTAAAAGTATAAAATAAATCAGTTCTTTTGACCATTTTTCATTTGAGCTCTTATTTACATTGATCAACTTAGTATTCTCACAATATATCTTTGGATTATTATTAAACTCAATTTGACATGGAATTAATGATAGTGTTTAACTAATTAACTAACTACCCACTATAATAAACTTGTGTTTATTATAGTGGGTAGTTAGTTAAGTTATTAATTATCAATAATTTAAAGTTGACTTTACTTTTATAACCATATTTAAAAGTTAAAATAGTTAATCAACATTTATGTAACTATCTACAACAGATAACAATTAATCAATGAACTTTCAGTTCTTACAAAGTATTTACTCTATTGATTTTAATAGAAATTCTAAAGCTTATAGTAAAAAAAAAAATGTTAACAATGAATATTGAATGACGGTATCACTAGTAGTAACAAAATGGTAAACAACTCTCATAAATTATAAAATTATTTTTGTTTTTACAATGTATTTATAACTGCAAAAAAAAAAAAATATTAACTGAGAATTATTAATTAATCATTCTTTTAAATTTGTTTTTAATATGAATATCTTTTTTTAATAGGAGTGTAACATTTGTAAATATTTTTAAAATGTCAATATCAGTGGAAATAAATGACAATACATCTTCATATGACAAACTTAGAGAGTTATGTAAAGAAAATGTTATTTATTTTTCAACTGACGAGAGGAATGGTTCAACTGCCATATCAAATTGTTTTGAACAATTATTTGAAAATATTGGAACTATAAAACCTTTGGTTTATGAATTACGTAATATCTGTCATTTGTACGATTTTGATCCATCTATACCAGGAAATGGTTACCGAAGTTATGTTACAGTTGTTGATTTATTTATTGCCCATTGTATTAAAATTTGCAACCAAATGACTATTAATCGTAATTCATTTTTCTTTCGTAAAGCATTTTATACAAAGTAAATTTTATTATAATAAATTTAATACCTAATCCAAATATCATTATTAATAGAAATCTTTTTACAGAGAAATTGAATCATGTAACCAAGTGATGAGTGCATTGGTATTGTGCTTAGAAAACTTATGTCTTTTAATTGGTTGGAGTGAACCAGGCATGTTATTTGCTGGAAACGATACTGCAGCTTTGGAGCTTATGATGAAAATAGAACCATCTAAGCTTTGTCCTTTTTATGGACGATGTTTAGCATTTCAGGTAAATTATTTTGAATAAACGTATTATCAAAATTTAAAACTTAATCTGATATTTTTTTTTAATTTTTGGTTTTATATGACTGTTGTTTAACTACTAAAGTTTTTCACAATATATGTATCAATGCCATTATGGAACACTATGTTTGCTCTCCTTATTTACAAAATTAAATTCATGTAAGCTAAACTATCTTTCATTTTTAACAATTGTCACCATTCAAGTTGAGCTTCATTATTATTTCATATTTATAATTCATTATTCAAAAAATTATGGATAAATGCTGTTTAAGCTTTATACTTGAGCTATTTTAAATAATTATATTAATATTATAGGAACATTTTCATAAAAAAGTATACAAAATTAAAAAAATAATAATAAAATAACTGAAAATTGATTTACATATAAGTTTAAAGTTTTAGATTTATTTTAACATTTTTAAATACTATCAACAAGTGTTTTTTTCAATATTTACTTAAAACTATTAACAATTTTGTTTAAAAATGTTTAAAATAATTTATTGTAATATGTATTATGTGTTATCATAACTTTTTTTTATGTTATTAGTTTAATGAGTCACTACAGCCTGCTTTGAAAACTATTGCTATAATGATGGCTGCTTTTAGTGAGGTATACTATAATGAAAATGGCATGTTAGCTAGAGCAAATACTGCATGGAATTGTAAGTTATTTGTTTACCATAAAGTATATAATAATAAAATAAATTATAATTAAATTTAATATAATTTTATAGGCAGCAAATATATGTTAAATCCAGAATTAAGAGCTCGCAGGATTGTCAATGTTATTCAATATTCTTCAATAGAGTTTTACAAAGCATTTTTATTCCTTGGTGAAACCGGTAATAATATTAAGTAATTTAAAAATAAACAAATAAAATTAAATGATTATTTTAAATTTTAGAACTATTGAAAAGTTTACCTAATCTAGTTTCACCTGTAGTTGCTGTAAATCGATTGATATCTATTCCTAGTAAACCAATTTTATATTTAAAACCAGATGGACAGTTATTTGAACTTCAGCCCCCAATGTGTCATACTGGACCAGCTTCTTTAAATGTTCGACTGATTGCAAAAACTAAACGTGAAGGCATGGTAAAGACTTTTTTTGTATTTTAAATTATTTTATTAATATATTAATTATTATTAGTTAGCTGAAAACCTTGGAAGTGGGATCTTACCAGAACCTTGTGATAATCTTATAATACATTGTCATGGAGGTGGTTTTGTATCACAAAGTTCAAGTTCTCACGAATCATATTTAAGAGATTGGGCTGTTCGCTTAGAGATACCTATATTATCTGTTGATTATTCACTTGCACCAAGGGCACCATATCCTAGAGCTAGGGAAGAACTATTATTTGCTTATGTTTGGGCAATAAATAATGCAGCATACTTAGGTTCTACTGCTAAACGCGTCATAATGGCAGGTAAAAAGGAAACAATTTAGATTGGAAATATAACATAAATAAGTATATGATGTGTGAATGATTCATGTCATTTATTTTTCATTTATAATATTTTCATTCAATAATTTATATTTTGATTTACAATAAGTAATTAGCTTTACAAATTTAATTTTATATAGAAATTTATAATTCAGTACATGTTTTTACAAACAAATTAATTTTATCATTTTAAACAAGGTGATTCTGCTGGAGGAAATTTAAGTGCTTGTGTAGCATTAAAATGCATAGAAATGGGTTTTAGAATACCAGACAGTTTATTTTTGGCATACTTCCCTTGTGCGATAGCGTGGTCTCCAACACCTGCAAGATTTCTTAGTTTAATAGATCCATTGATACCTTTAGGTTTTATGACAAATTGTTTGAAAGGTAATTTACTTAAAATATATATTTTAAATATTCATATCTAATACTTAATAATTTATTTTAGCTTATGCTTGTCCTCCTGACATCTACCAAGATAGTTTATATGAATATAAATTGAAAAATATAGCCAAACCAAAAGATGGGGCAAAAGATAATTTCATAGAAGAAGTAGAATCTAGTGAAGAAGCTTTGGAGTTAATACAAGATACTAAAAAAGATAGCCAATCAACAATAACACCAGTTGAAGAGGTTATTATGACTGCACATGAACACAGACAATCAAGAAGATTTTCTACGATGCTTACAGAGACTGCTGAGAATATAAGTTCTGCTATTACTACCACATTCATTACATTGACTGGAGGAACAGCAGAAGAATATATTAGGTGATATATTTTTTTTATGAATTAAATTTGATTATTTATTTGTAAAAACGGTGAGGAATACCGGAATACTTATTTCTATTTTACATTTAAAAAATTTAAATTCTTCATACATTGAATAAACTGCATAATGTTTTAGTTAGAGTCAAATAGGTGGAATAATATATTACATTTATATCCATTTTAATAAAATTATTTCTGAAAACTGTTTATTATTTTGGTTTGAAGATATAAAAAAATAATTTTATTTAACAAATTTGCAATCCAATACCATATGAACAGTATCAACTTTTATCTAATTAAAAAAATACTATTTAATTTTTTCAATAACATATTATTTTAAAGTAAAAATGTTAACATAAAAATATATTAAGGAAATAATATATTATAAATTTGGTAAATTGCAGGCATTTCACAGTTGTATATAGATTTATAATATTTGAATGTTTAAGTGTCATCCAATACAAATTTCAAATTGAATACATTATATTATTATATTTTCTAATTCTATATGAATATTTTTGATGACAAATAATATATTAGTTATTAAATACAAAATACCAAATCAAATCTCCATTAGCTTATAATAAAAATTTCTACAGCTAAAATACATTTATAAAAACAAAATTAGTTCACAAATTGAAATTCATAATTCGTTTTCATATTTTTAGTGATAGCGAAGATGCTTTAAATGAAGTGGTAGAAGAGACACCTTTGCCTATAGATTTACCTAAGTTACCAGAAGATCCATTTTTGTCTCCCTATTTTGCAAGTGATGATCTTTTTAAAGAACTACCTCCTGTTCATATTGTGGTATGTTTTTCATTAAAATTATTTTGTTAAAATAATACACTTAATTGTAAAAAGTTACCTCCTAATCATAATTTTCAATTTTTCAAAAGTATTTACTGTAAATTAGAATGAAGAAGTAAATACTAAAAAGTTACTCATTAGGTAAAAAAAAATCTGTAAGTTAAACTAAATTATTTTATATGTATAATTGCAGTGTTAAAAAACTACATATAATAATGTGCATACATTTTTAGTTTAAAGAGTGATCTCAGTAACTAATAATTAATGTTTAAAAATTTGATATAAAAAAAAATGTCATTAATTTTTTTCATAGTTTACTTGTATACGTTTTTACCAAGTATTGTTATAAAATTGTTGAATTTTACAGACTGTACATATGGACCCTTGTTTAGATGATTGTGTAATGTTTGCTAAGCGGTTGAAGAAACTTGGAAAAAAAGTGAAAATGGATATTTTAAAAGGGTTACCCCATGGTTTTTTAAATTTGGCTATTGTGAGTTCATATTACCATTGCATATAGTTATGTATTAATTTTTTAATATTTATTTGTACATAGACTTGTAAAGAAGCACATGAAGGTTCAGTATTATGTGCTCAACGAATTGCCGAATTATTTAAAGAAATTGAAGAATCTGAAGTTAATTTTATTTAATTGGGAACATTTTCTAAATTACATGTGTTCCAAATTCTTAATTATATAATGCATGACATTTTTAAGCTTTTTCCTTACAATCACAAAATGTAGTAGATTATTATTTGTACATTACAGTTGTATAATACATACAATACTATGTAAAGGTAATTTATGGGATCAACTCAAAATATACTAACTACATTTTTATCAACAAAAAAAAAATGTTTGCTTGTTAATTGTGCACTGTATATTTACAGTATGTGTTCTATTATTATTATAAACTTATTAATACAATAAACAAATAAAAAAAGCTTTTGAGAGTTTAATCTTTTTTATTGTTATTTGAAAGATGTTCATTTTTCCCATTTAATGTTTTAGGTCGCAAACGTTTTTCCAATACATATGCAGCTGCAGGATCTATTCTTTTATAGTAATGCTCTTTTGTTTCAACTATTTCAAAGCCAAATTTTTTGTAGAATTGTATGGCACTATCATTGTTCAATTGAACATGTCTAAAAGAAAAACATAATTAAGATAATGTACAATAATGTACTTTAATGGTCACTTACAAATAAATACTATCAAATGTACCATCATTTTCAACATAATTTAAAACGTGATCAACCATCATACTTCCTATACCAAGTCTTCTATATTGTGATAAGCATCCTAAAGTCATTATGTAAAGTCGACGACCAATTTCTTGATCTATTCGACAACACACAGCTCCAACCACAATATCATTATAATATGCTAAAAATATACATACATTAACCAAATAAAATTAACTACAAGTTCAGAGCAGTTCAATTTAAAATCAGCACATACCTAATTTAGCTAATTCTCCAGCCTCTAGAACATCTTTATAAAACTTCTCGTTATATGATACAGGAAAAACAACATTATTTAATCGTTTGAGCTGTTTTATATTATGATGAGTAATTTCTCCCAATTCCAACTTGGCTCTAAAAATTAAAATCAGAACCACATGTTAATATCAAAAATTGTTGTAAAACTAAGAAAAAATTATATTATTTCCTAAACAATTTTTAAAAAAAAACTTAAAATATTTTTCATTAATAATTCATGTAAAATAATAATAAAAGAAAATGATAATTTGCAAAGCATGAAGTATTTAATTTATACTTGATTATATATTAAATTATGCTTATATTAATAAGGTGATAGGAAAAAATGTTTTTGTGTAAAATGTTTAAATGTTATTTTTGAATTAAAAAAAAAAAAAAATAATAATAAATCCATCACAAAATAACTTTTTTCTTTATTAACATACATAATATATCATGATGTAAAATGTTATATATATAATTATAGGCTAGAGCATTGTTTGTTGTTATTCATTAAAAAATGTAATGAAGAAGAAAACTATTATATATTCATGATAGAATTTTTATAAAAAATTAAAATTATAAAAAGTTTAAAATATATAAAATCGAATAAGTAACATTAAAAATTTAATTAAAATTAAAAAAGCATTACCTGGTCATGATGAATTCTTATGTGATTCTGAAAATAATTCCAACTTAAACAGTAATTCCTTGATAACAATTTTGAAATGATAATGATACAGATAAACAGTTTTGCCAAAATAAAAATTCAAACCATTTATTAATACAGGTCTAATACTAAGGGTCTTGAAGATTTTCAAAGATCGTGGTAGTATTATACATAGACATAATATATATTATGTCTATGGTATTATATAATAATTTTGTTTATAATATGATATTTATTAACTTTCAGTTTTTCAGTTTTTAGTGGGGATTTGAAATAATCGTTAGTAAAAAATAAAAATAAATTTTTATAAGTACCATTAATTATAAATTATTAATATGAATACTTATGAACTCGCCATATGTCAAACTCAAAAATCCAACATACTATTAATTAGTTGTTAAAAATTGCAATTTCTGATCGGCTTTGGAATAAAATAAAATATTTTGTTTACAAAATCTCAACTAGTTAGGCCAATTAAATTATTATGGATTTTAATATTTATATTTGTCTTGTGATCTATCGAACTCTGGATTAACTATAATAATTGAAATATCGTTTTATATATGAAGAAAAACGAAAACAATGTACAAATCATAGGTGTGTGCAGATTCCTGTATCCGGTGTGGCTTTTATTTTTTTCGATCCCCTTTAACCCTTTTCTAACCCCTTTATAAAACTCCACCTTAAAAAAAAATATATATATATATATACAAAATATAAGTTAGTAGAAATAAAATTTATTAGAAAAACTGATGTTCAATCTGATCATCAATGAACGCCAGTCCTGGCAATTTTTATTTTTTTATAATTTGATAAAAAACTTTCGATTTTCCAAAAAAAGATTTATTTGCCCTTTTTACCTAAGTACATAGTACATACCTAAAAAAAGTCTCAGGTGTATCTATAGCCCTATAAGCCACACCCATGCGCACACCTATGGTAAAAATTATATATATGTATATAATACATTTATAAAAGGTAGGTATACGAAGAAATTAGTCAAATAAATTACGTTAGTTATTTAAATTTGAGAGTAGATATAATAAGGTTAGTAAAATTCTTTTGGATGAATAATACAGCTTATTATTATATAATGTAATATACATCTTTTAAGTACCACAAATTATAAAATAATCTGGATGTATTTTCTCAAGGTCATACTTTTAAGTCTGGATCCCCAATATGTTTTCTGTTTAGATTACTTTCGTAATTACAATTTATTATGTATATTTACTTTTTTTTTAATTTGCATACATACATTTAGATTAAATTTAATAATTTATATATTTAATTTCTTTTTATTAAGTTGTTAATCATAATCGATTATTTTCAGTTAGACATTTTTAACTTATATAGAATACTTTTTTTTCTCTTTTTTTTTCTGTTGAATCGACGGCGCCACGGGAAGTGCTTTCGCATTGCTTCCGTGAAAAATACTAAACTACTTTATGGCGCCGTATTTTAAAAATAATTAATATAGATGTTAAATTTAGGTGCAACCATGAAATAAATTAATAATAATATCGTAAGAAGTATTACGAAATGCATTCCAATAAGTATAATTTCGAGAATTCATTACACTTGAGAGCAGTGGCGTAGATATAATTTGTTTTCTGGGGGGGGGGGGATTAAGAGTCAATTCATAATATTCTTACTATATTTAAATACGAGGTCCTATATAATAATATTACATTTAAAATGGTATTATTAATTTAATGTATTTAATGAAAATCATTTTGTTACTCAATTTTTAATATACCTAATCATAGTGAAATGAAAATATCATTTTACTATATTTAAATAATTATACATGAATAATTAAACAGATTCCATACGCGAGTGAACAATCTAATAGGTATATTGATAATGAAAACAAAAAATATCGCAGTGTTAGGTTTTTTTTATCGTAAAGATTAGACGCTTGCAATTAATTTTAAAAGATTTGGTTCTTATTTTAAAACATTATCATGGTTTCATTATAATAACGACAATTATTATTTTTGTATTTCTATGATACAAATTTAAATAGTTCAAATTTTATATTCAACAATATAATTCACCTTGAAAATTGTAACTTTGAAGATGAAGTATACAATTATTTTATACAAAGTTGTTGCACATGCTGATAGATTGTCTCATAGTCAGCTGATTAGGGTACCACCCAGTTTTTTTTTCATGTCGCTTCATTCACCGCCTGAGCAGCACTGCATTAGTTGTGGCTTTGAGAGTTGTCATTCAATCAAAAAAGGATACGCCCGTGCATATAATCAAGTGAGTATTTAATAATTTATTATTTAAACGGTTTTCTTATTTTAGTAAATTATTATAGAAATGTTTAAGAATGCTTTGTAGCTATTCAATTTTACTCTCACATCACCTTTTTTTGTTATCAACACTTATCAACCCTATGATGGTACCCTCCTAATAGTGGCGGCGGCTATGGCCAACACCCTCAAGTCTTAACTTAAATTTTTTTTGAACAGTTTAACTATTCATTAGTTTTAGTGAGTTTAATAAATATTTATTTCAAAATCACATAAGAGCTTATCTCATATTTTATTGTTCACCCTAACCTAATTTATATGGGATCCGCCTTGTTTTTTTATTACAATTAACTAAAAAGTAATTGAGTCAAATTTAGTATATTTGAATGGAACTGAATTATTTGTTTGCGAATTATTCAACTGCCTATCTATGTGTAAATTGCCAAGATTATTATGCAATTGACTGAACATTTATTTTTATGTAAACAGAATTATGATAGACGATGGATTAAGACAGTAAAAAATAAATTCTCAGTAATTTATAATTTACATATTACATGTCGTATGTGTACTTGTTTATTTTAGTTATATAACAATTAAAAGTTTCACATTGTTTTTAGTTTAAACTATGTTTTTTAGATAGATAGTATATCATTTAGTAACACATGTTACTTGGTATGTATAATTAATTCTAATGATCTAAATTACACATGATTAATTAAACTATTTTTCAATTTTGTTTTCTAATAAAAATCATTATGTGGAAATCTGTTGTGTCTTGTTGGGGTTTATTAGGTAAAATATTTAATTTATTTTTGATACTATCCTATCTTAAATGAAAAAAGGTAATATTATTTCTTATACCATACTACTTTATACTAATAAAGTTTCTATATAACTGTATATTGAATATATCTATTAATCAGGTTATATTTAATGGAATAATATTAATAAAAATTTATAATTTATTTATATTTTTTCTTATGTAGATAAAAATCATACAAAAATGACTTCGTTGAAGACTTTTGAGGATGAAGATAAAGAGAGTTCTTATGGGTTTGTGTTTGCAGTTTCTGGCCCAGGTTATTATTATAATTATTTTGTATTAATTATTCCATGTATTTATTTTTAAGCAAACATTTTTTTATTTTTATTTTTTAGTCGTGACTGCTGAAAAAATGTCTGGATCAGCCATGTATGAACTAGTTCGAGTAGGATACTTTGAACTAGTTGGTGAAATTATTCGTCTAGAAGGTGATATGGCTACAATTCAGGTAAACAGTCTATAAACTTTTATTAAGTATTCCGATAATTTATATTTTAAAATCCTTGTCTGTTTCAGGTTTACGAAGATACATCTGGTGTTACTGTTGGTGACCCTGTTTTAAGAACTGGTAAACCACTTTCAGTAGAATTAGGACCTGGTATAATGGGAAGTATTTTTGATGGTATTCAAAGACCATTGAAAGATATTAATGAGCTTACTCAAAATATTTACATACCCAAGGGTGTTAATATACCAGCTCTAGCTCGTAATGTTTCTTGGGAATACAATTCATCTAATATCAAGATTGGAAGTCATATAACTGGAGGAGATCTTTTTGGTCTTGTGCATGAAAATACTCTTGTTAAACATAGGTTAATGTTACCTCCTAAAGCTAAAGGAACTGTTGTATTCCAAGCTCCACCTGGAAACTATAAAGTTGATGTACATATTATTTTTAATTTAATTTAAGCATAACATTAAATGTCAATATATATTCTAGGACATTATATTGGAGACAGAATTTGATGGTGAAAAATCATCTTTTACAATGTTACAAGTTTGGCCTGTACGTCAGCCTCGTCCAGTCACAGAAAAGTTACCTGCCAACTATCCACTTTTAACAGGACAACGGGTACTTGACTCTTTATTTCCGTAAGTTGATAATATATATCTTTTATGTTATTTCAAGTGCTCTTTATATATTTACCATATATCTCTTTAGCTGTGTACAAGGTGGGACTACTGCCATTCCTGGTGCTTTTGGTTGTGGAAAAACTGTAATATCTCAAGCTTTATCTAAGTATTCAAATTCTGATGTTATCATTTATGTCGGTTGTGGAGAACGTGGTAATGAAATGGCTGAGGTAAAATATTTAGAAAATATGTAGAAAATATTAATTTTATATTTATAAAATAATAAAAAAAGAATTAAAAATGATTAAATAGTTAATATTTGTAATTTAATATATGATAAAACACATAAAAACTTAGCCTGGAGTATTAATAATACTTTAATAAATAATATATTTGTAAAATACAACTGATTTCAAATTAAAAATTCATTGTTAGTATGTATAAAATCAATAAAATTTGCGAATAAATATCAAAAAATAAAGGGAAGAATACATAATATACAATATTAAATCAACACAATGAAATAAAGAAAAATAATTTTAATAATATTTTAAATGTACAAATCAATTTGAAAAATAATATCTTATATCAATATATTTTAAATATAAATAATCAAAGTATTTATATTTCTTAACATTTCTTTGTCTTATAAGAACTCATTTTAAATAATCTCTCCTATTATAATAAATTTTCTCTTAGTGAAACGACTAATTTTTCTTAATGTATTCCTTTCTTTATTTTTTCATATTCAGTTGCAATTTTTTATATACCTGGCGATTAATTTTTAATTTGAAACCAGTTTTATTTTAAAAATCTAATAATTCTTCGTGCTTTTATTTATATATTTATTTTATATTAACGAAATGTATAAATTAAATTTTATTTTTTTTCGATTTGTTAATATTGTAGGTATTGGGAGATTTTCCTGAATTATCTATTGAAGTTGATGGTGTAACTGAATCTATTATGAAAAGAACTGCTTTAGTTGCCAATACCTCAAACATGCCTGTAGCAGCACGAGAAGCTTCTATTTATACTGGTAATAATGAGTGTTAAATATTTTTTTTTACTTAATTCAATTTGTATTGATAATTATATTAATTTTTAGGTATTACATTATCTGAGTACTTCAGAGATATGGGTTACAATGTATCTATGATGGCTGATTCAACATCTCGTTGGGCTGAAGCTTTGCGTGAAATATCAGGTCGTCTAGCTGAAATGCCTGCTGACAGGTATACTGAAAAAATAATTGTTCTATTAAAACATCTGAATAAAAAATTTTTTGTATAAAATAGTGGTTATCCCGCATATTTGGGTGCTCGTTTGGCTTCATTCTATGAAAGAGCTGGTCGAGTAAAATGTTTGGGTAACCCCGAACGAGAAGGTTCAGTTAGTATTGTAGGAGCTGTTAGTCCCCCAGGTGGTGACTTTTCGGATCCTGTTACATCAGCTACTTTGGGTATTGTGCAAGTATTTTGGGGGTTGGATAAAAAATTGGCACAACGTAAACATTTTCCTTCTATTAACTGGCTTATTTCATACAGGTATCTATATTTATAAATTAGTTAATATTGAATATTAAAAGAGTGTGATAATTTATAAATGTTTTTGTTAAAGTAAATACACAAGAGCATTGGATGACTTTTACGATAAAAATTTCCCAGAATTTGTGCCCTTAAGAACTAAAGTTAAAGAGATATTACAAGAAGAAGAAGATTTGTCTGAAATTGTACAGTTGGTTGGTAAGGCATCTTTAGCTGAATCTGACAAAATTACACTAGAAGTTGCTAAACTATTAAAAGATGACTTTTTACAACAAAACAGGTAATTGGGTAATAATAATAATCCATAATATTGTGGTACTTTATTATAATTTTAAGTAACTTTTTTTATGTTCTGTTAGTTATTCATCTTATGATCGTTTCTGTCCATTTTACAAAACTGTTGGAATGTTACGAAATACAATAGCCTTTTATGATATGGCACGTCATGTTGTTGAATCAACTGCTCAATCTGAAAATAAAATAACTTGGTCTGTCATTAGAGACAGTATGGGCAATATACTTTACCAGTTGTCCTCCATGAAGTTTAAGGTAAAATAATATCCTTTTTTAATAAATTTTTTAATTAAAACTAATGTTTTTTTTAGGACCCAGTTAAAGATGGTGAAGCTAAAATTCGTGCTGACTTTGATCAGTTATATGATGACATACAGCAAGCTTTTAGAAATCTGGAGGACTAAAAAGTATTTTTCATGTTATTTTACATCGTTATTCAAAAACAAAACATTAAGTTTGTAAAAAAAAAAAAAATTATATATTATAATGAATTGTTGTTGTTTACTCCAGCTTTCGTAAAATTAGCGCACATCATAGAATGAAACTGTGGTGACGGATGTAAAATTATTTTTGTTTTAATCTTGTTGTTAATGTCACCATGAATAATATTTTTATTTATTTTTTTTTTTTTTATTCATTTTATTCGTCATTCCATTCTCGTAGATTTCATTCATAGCAAGTGAACTATTACTTTATAATTTATTATTAAATTCGACAATAAGCAACCTACCATGTGAATTTTATAAATTCATTTCTGTTTCAAGTAACCATTTATTTAAAGATATTAACACATTTATTATCATGTAAATATATATAAATTATTATCGAATTGCATTTTAGAATAATGATTAAAGCAATGAAATGTCAAATGATATGATCATTAATTTATGTTCTTTTATTGGGCAATATTAAAAATTATTTTAAAATTTCAAAAGAAAATTAATATAAAGAATCCAATACCATAGTATTTATTTTCTTAAAACTCAAATAATTATTGGCCATGTTTTTTAATAAGCCAAATAAGTTTTTTTTCGTCATAAATTATTGTTTTGTTGTTTTTAATTATATTATAATTATATTATAGTCTATGAATTATATAAAATAACGTAGGGGTTTAAATCTTATGAGAGATACCATTTAGAGTACTCAGTAAAATTAATATTTGTAAAATATTATTAGGTAAATCTGTTATCAATGATAATTAACAAATACATTCCAAATTTATTGTAAACTTTTATTTGTTTAATTTTTAACTCCCTTTTGTTTTCTTTACTATTCAATGCACTTGTATGTTTCCTTTTCCTGGAACTGTACTTATTACAGTTTTATATTTTAAATACTTTTAAAAAAAAAAAATAATATCAGTAAACTATATAGTGATTTTTTCAGTTAATCTAACTGAATGATACAACAATAATTTTTAATGTATAAATACATTTTCAAATAGTTCATTTATAGAAATAAATAAATAACAATTTAGTCTGAAGTATTATTATGTTCAGTGCTCGACTTGAGGAGGACTGAGTAACCCAATAAATTTTCAGAAATTTTAATGATCCACTATTATAACATTATAATTATAATATTTAACACGTTTTGGGGAAGATCTTTTTTTTTTTAAAGTAAACAGAATCCTCTTTTTTTAATTTTGCCAAGTTGAGCACTGATTTTATTTATGAAGTTCGACCAGTTTCAAATTAAAAATTCATTGTCGAGTATATATAAAAGTCAATAAAATCACAACTGAATACGAAAAATAAAGGAAAGAATATATTGAGAAAAATTAATCATTATTTTAATGTTCTTCTCCTTCACCTTTTTCTCAACTATTCGCGGTTGGCCATTCTTGTTCTAAATCTCCACTTGTCTTGATTTTCTACATCTAAGCACACACCAACGGCTCTTATATCATTTCAATTATATCTAACATTCTCTTTTTTGGTCTTCCACTTCCTCTTATCCCTTAAACGTTCATATTCATAACAACTCGTACTACATTTGTTTCCTCTGGCCCAAACAATTTTTGTCTATTTTCTCTCATCTTGTCCATTATTGTCACTTCATTCATCTATCTAAGCATTCTCATAGCCGCAACACTTATACTGTGTTCTATTCTCTTGTCAACCACCCAACACTGAACCTTATAACATAATTTATTTCATTATACTCCTGTAAAACTTACCTTTTAGCCACATTGGAATTCTCTTATAGCATAAAACACCAAACGTTTATTAAAATAAACAATAATTTATTTTAATAGATGAGATTATTTAAAATTAATTCTTATTAGAAAAAAATATGTTAAGAAATATAAATACAGTAGAACTTTGATTATCTGGACTAAGCAAATATCCGGATAATTGACAACATATCAAAAGTTATATAATTGTACAAATATATTGTACATATTTATTTATTATTTATATGTAATATAATTTGAAGTTTTTAACAGTAAACAAATAACTTTATTATAATATTTTACTGAAAAAGAATAAACAACAAGAATACAATAACATATTTTAAAACGAAAAGCTGACTTAGCAAAAATGATATTTTAGTTTGCTTTATAGTTGATTTTCTCTTTAAAGCAGCTATGTTTCTCAAACTCCTTAATTGCAAAACTTTAGTGGTGTTCAATTCTTAATGCCTCTCAAACCATTTTAACACTAAATTCAATGCATCAAAAATTTCATTTTAAAGAGATGGCCCATTTAAACTTCAGTCAAATTGTCAGATTCACTTAAATTTTCTTTAAATAAACTACAAACTATTTTATCATCTGAAAGTATTTGATATTCAGCATCATTTGTGTCCATAATCAATCACTAATTTATATTCTTTTCATCAAAATCCCTGAATGTTGAATAATACTCCTCTATTTCAGGTATTTCAACATTTAATTCTACGTTTTGGATCTCAGTTTGTTTCAGTAACTTATTCCATGACCATTCCAAAATGCAATTTTTTATACATTTTTATGCTTTGACTAGTGCATGTAGAAACAGTTTGATTTACTAGTTATTAGATGACCAAACTATTTTCCTCATCAGGTTAATTGAACATCTGGTTGATTAACTTTCAGATAATCAGAGTACTACTGTATTTTGGTTATTATTTAAAATTTATTGATCTAAGATATTAATTTTCAAATCAATTTGAACATTTAAAATATTATTAAAATTATTTTTCTTTATTTCTTTGTGTATGTTTGACTCTTCTAAAACATTTACAAAAGATAGTTTTTAACATAAAAATATAACTTATACCATTTTTATGCAATATATCTAAAGATTTATTGATATTTAACACAATAACAATAATATAATTAACTATAATTAACAAATCATTCGTTTAAAAAAACAAAATTGGGCATTATTAGTTTTCTTATAGGTGCTTGTTTCAAGTTAATTTTATGTTTATTTTAAATTGAATATTGTAAAAATAATTTTTTTAATGACTCATTTTGAGAAAACAACTTGGTCATTATTTTGTTAAAAGTTTAACGTTATTTTTCAATTAAATTTTTTATAATATAAACATAATTTTATAGTCTCGATTTTTTATTTTTAGAGTTGAATGTAACTCGGGTTTCTCTTTAAGTTATTTAAATTAGAAATGATTACATTAAATTATTTAAGAAAATATTATAAATAATGAATTAATGTTAAAAAAAATTGTTATTTAATAAAATCAAAGTATGTGGCACACCTAGTGAATGTTCACCGCATTGAGTTTGAAAACCACTAGTATATAATTACATAAAAAAATTTATAAAAACTAATTGTAATATTATTTTTAGTCATTTATTTATATTTGTTAAAAACATGAATATATTTTTTTTTTTTTTTGAGATTATATGCTAAATTATATTGGCATGACTAGAATAGCTTAGTTTAATTACACGCCTAACCACAATAAAACATCTTTAAAACAATTCTTAATATTTCTCTTCTCAATTTTCAAAATTATATTTAATTTGTTTCAAGAAATCCAGTAGGTTAATAAAAGTAAACTATACAGTATGTCCTATATGTTCCATATCACCCTTAATATCTCCACAGGAAATCAATATATTGAAACGTAGTTTTTTTACAACACTTAGTATTGAAAATCTGATTAAATGTAATAAAATTCAGTTTTTTTTAAAAAAATTTTTGTTATGCATTTAAGAATTTTTAATTTTTAAGATGCCATTTTCTTGAGCATATTTTTTAAAACGGTTCAAAAAAAAAAAATATATTAAAATTTAATAAAAAAAAACCAAGTTAGAGCAAGTTATGTTTTTGAATAATTATAACAAAAAAATTAATTGTTTCACATTTCAATAATCCAGTGCTTTGGCCACCTAGGCCGTCTAACTTAACACCAATGGATTTTTTTTTATGGGGTTATTTGAAAAATCTTGTGAATCTGTTGTGTTCATTGCCTGATCTCCGTGACAAAATTGAACAAAATATTTTACCTGAGACATCAGAAAATATTAAAAACCCTTGGGTCCAAAAACTTCAGCTCTGTATTACAAATAATGGAGGTCACTTCGAACATTTATAAAAAAAAATGTATTACATTATTTTCATTTTTATGTAATAAAATCTTTTTTTTTTTCTATTAATAATTAAGTTTAAAAATATCATATGAATTTTAATTTTAATGTTTCTTAAAAGCTCCACTAATAATTAGATATTTACAGATTGCCATCAAAAATCAGCGTTCCAATCGAGCAATTCGTGTTTTTTTATTCAATATTAATATTTTTTTTAACTTTTTTAAAAAATATGCTCAAAAAAATATTTTTTATGCATTTTTGAATTTTTTAAAAAAAAAATGAGTTTAAATATGTTGCTTTTTCGTGGAGATATTAAAGGTGATATAGGACTTATGGGACACACTATATAAAAAATGGTTAAAAATAAAAATAATTAATTGAAAATAATAGAGAATGCACATTTTAGTATATTTATTTTCATATTTTGGACAACACAAATGTAATCACACTTCATTAAATATATACAAAGAAAAAATACCATTTTTAATTCTATAACAAATTTAACTTATAAATAATTAAAAACTACACAACGAAAAAAACAACAAAAGTTACCAAAGTTGGCTGTATAAAGAAAAAATAATGACCCTTACACAAATATTTAAAATTTGACAATATTAATGTGTAATTTAAAAATATATATTTTCATTTGGTACACAGTAAACAAATAATTCATAAAAATAACTTCTGAAAACTGCATAAATGATGATAAAATTTTAGGATTATTAAGTACAAAGAGATCAGTTAATATTTTTTAATTCATATAATTAAAAATCCATAAACAATTAATAACATATAACAAAAATCTAATATGATACTTTAGTCAAATAATCATATTTGATTTGCAACAACTAACAATAGAATGATTTTTATATATTTAAAGTGACTAAAATAAATTTGGAAATTACATGTATTCATATAACATCAACATTTTTAATTTAAAGAATTTTTAAATTAATACAGATATTAAATTCTGATTAGTTGGTTTATAATCAAAGAAAAATATACAAGTTTAATATAGCTATATTTACTGATTGATTAACATTTGCATTACTTAATATACACATTTTATTTAAACTGTTTTAAATATTCAATAAGTTAAGTACAAGTTATTGCAATCTCTACATTAAAATAAATACTTATTTCTTATTAGTTTTTTTTTTTTAATTTTTGATCTAAAATTATAATTAAACCACATACATTTCATAGTTCAGTTACTAAAAATAAATTAATATTTAAGCAACAACTATCATTAATAATACAATACAATGTATTATAATGTTCAAAATCACTCTTTTTTAAATTAAGTCTTATTGTAAAATTATTTGAATTTGAAAAACATAAATATATTGGTCTCTTCGGTATTATGAATATGTTGAGTAAAGTAATAAATAATAAGTTCAAATCAGTTTAACATGATTTTTACAAATTGTTTAATGTTATCATGAGGAGTCACGATCTCTAGAAACAAAACTAAAAAATATAGAAATATTAATTTATAACAAAAATTGAAGTTTCAAGTTCCATATTTTCATGGATCATTAATAAATTAATTTCTATAAGTGATGAAATTGGGAAATTTAGTTCACCGTGGCACTTTTATATAAATTTGATTAAAAATTAAAAATAATGATAAACAAAATGTTAGCAATAGGACAAATTTGGTGTCCTAGTTGTTTAAATAATTTTTTTTATGCTAAATCTGTCACTGGTGTAGGTACGTTTCCCTGGCACCACAATGTTGAAAAATCCATAATTTTTTTGCGCCATTAATTGTATTATAATTTGTACCACTCATTTTAGAATTTGTACTAATGAATTTCCCACGGAAAAATCGATTTCTGTCTACGGATCCCTGAGTAACGTTTCTCTGGCACCCGAAATCACACCTAATGAACTATTCCACATTTTTTTTTGCACTATTAACTGTACCATAATTTGTACCACTCGTTTCAGAATTTGTACCAACGAATTTCCCATGGAAAAATCGATTTCTCTCTACGGGTGTCAGGGATACGTTTTCCAGGGAAAATTACATAAGATATACTTTATTATAACATATTATGTGTGTTTTTTTTACCAATTGAATAAAATTGTATTTACATCCAAATTTTGCACTCGAACAACAAATAAGAATTTATATGAACGTAAATAAAATTTTGTCGGTTGAAAACCTGCAAATAACATTACCTGTTATAAAATAGGTACATATTTTGTTAAGTTAATAATTATATATTTGATCGAACTTGTGAACATTTATCAATCAAGAATTTGACGTTACTACTATTACTTTCTATGATAATTCTATTGCAATAATTGTGCTTCGTGAACAGTATCAAGGAATTTCTTTCATTGAAATGTTTGTTAAAAGATTTGAAATAGCATTATTGGTAGACAGTGGCGCACGCAGGGGGGTTAAAGGGTTGACCCCCCTGAAATTTCTCCGATGTCTAGGTTAAAATATGAAGAGCCAGTATTGAATACCTAGTATCATTAATTATAAAATAGTCCAGTGGTTATCAACTTTTTTGGGTCCACGGCTTCTTATGATTTTGAAATAAAATATAGGGCTCCCATACGAACATTTAAATAGATTAGATTAGAGGCAAATCATTAAGTACCTAATTGTAAATAGTAATCGAAATATGCTATTTCTCGATATCCCAAACACGGTTATCGACGGCCGATCTGTCTCACACACGCAACATGTAATATGTATTGGTGCACAGAAATTTTATTTTTAGTTTTTATTGCGAACGCGGCTCCCTTGATAATAACCGGCGACGCCTCTGGGAGCCGCGACGCACAGGTTGAAAACCACTGGAATAGTCTATTCTATTATCAATGGTATTATTTAAGTCAAAATATATTAAGGATTTGCATAATTTTGTTAATTGTTAAATGTGTTATATTTTTACCTTGACCCCCCCCCAGAAAAAAATCCTGTGTGCGCCACTATTGGTAGAAAACTGATTTTTATATAAATTATATGAACGTCGGCTGTTTAAAATAAAAACATGAAATGACTTATACAACGCGTTATCATTTAGCCCCCGACGACTTTCATTGCATGTTTAAAAAATTCCAATCGTGTTGATTAACATTATTTCTACGTCTCATAATGGGTACGGTCTTATATTTAATAATCAACAAATAATTTATCCGTGTAAAATGTTACAGGGAGATGTACTAAGTCAATTATCCGAACCAATACAATAATAATATACATTAATAGATTAAAATAAGGTTAAATAATTTTTATTAGTCAATAGTAAATTTCGATAGCATACAAGTTGCTTGTTTATTTTTATTCCAGTTTATTTCCTAGAAAAATATACCAATAAGCGAGGCTGGGGAATCTCATAATCTTAATATTATATATTATCTATAATTTTTATTATTATCTACCAGTGGCGTATATAGGAGGGTGCCTAGTGGGCTACAGCCCCCCTCCCACCGAAATGTTTCAAAAAACTTAAAAATTATTTTAAACGTTTGTTATATTTTAATGATGCTCTATACTTATTTAGAAATAATTTTATAAAAAAAAAAAAAAAAAAAAAAATAGAAAAATTAAAAATGATTTAATAATATTTAATCTTCAGATTGTTTTTTTTTTATTATTATCACCAAGGTACACGGTGTTGTACATTTTTTTATACAACCTATTTTTATTGGTATTTTATTTAACTATTGAGAATTTTTATTTGTACTTCAGTTATTGTTATTATCAATTAGCTAAAGGAGAACCTTTATTATATTAAATTTTAAGTCAAATAAACATTTCGTTTATTTGTTCATCATTCTGACTTCTAAACCATTTGCATCTCACAACTCCTTGCAACTCATAGTGATTCCCCTTAAGTATAAACTGAAAAAAGAATCCAACATTTTTAACATTTTCAGATACACCTTATCAAATCATAGCCAACGTTCCCTCCTTTTATTTTTTTCTTGTTTTTATTCTGTTCCAGTATTTTATTTTTAAGAATTTAGAAATGTAGCTTATGAGTTATGGAATAACAATATAATGCAATATATTGGGTACAAATTCTGAAATGAGTGGTAAAAATTGGTACAAATTATAGTACAATTAATGGCGCAAAAAAATTATGGATTTTCAAACATTGTGGTGCCAGGGAAACGTATTTCACTGATGTCACATATATTCTCATAGATTAGAAATATAAGTATTATTTACCTCTCAGATAATAATCCATGCTGTGATAAAATTCCTCTTAATTCTTCATTTTCTATTCTTAATTCATTATTATGTCTATTAATGGCTTCCATTTGTTTTACACAGTCCATTAATCTTTGATTAGTTGATTTTAATTCATTAATATAATCACATGCTTTTGCCAGAATACCTCCTTTACTCTAGAAAACATAATAATAATTAAATAAATCATAACTTGTACTATATTATAATTTAAAATGTATACTCATATATGATGTTACATATAAACAAGAAAAGAAATATAAAATATAAATAAATAAAAACCACTTTTTTCTACCGTATGAAATCTTATTTTAAATACAAATAGACCACTTTAAATTTTAATTAAGACAAAAACTATGGATATTTATGTTAGCACATTTTACTATAATTGATGATGGTCATCGATCAGTAAGTTAACATTTATTATACATATATTTTATGTACAGATCTATACTACTATTAAATTTTATTGTAACTAATAATTTTAAATATATTCATTTTGAGAGTCATATATGTAGATATCTTTCATTCCTTTTTCCCATGGCAGATAATTTGATAAATTGTGTCTACTATGTTTGTGACTTTTGATTTTCAGATTACATATATTAATTATCTCAAATAGTATTGTAACCATTTCAAACTATATATAAATCACATTGTTCTTATTTTTGGATTGATTCCAGTAACAAAAAATTAATTGCTAAATTGTTAATCATTTAATAATAAATTATTGAAAATTAATTTAAGTATCATTTTACATTTTTTTATATAATGCCATTCAAGGTTGAATTGTAAATAAATTTAGAATTTGTTTAAAAAAAAAAGAAAATTATATTATTACTTGATTGTCATAGTTGGTTTTGTTTTCTTCAGCACAATCTGGTATAATTTTGCTCATATACATTATCCATTGATTAATTTTATCACGTCTTCGACGTTCTACTTCATTATGTGTTAATCGTCTTTTAGCATCTCTCTGAAAACATAAAAAATATTTTCACAAATTTATTAATTAAATAATCAATGTATAAATTATATAAGGTTGGAAGTTAAAATGTAAAAACTATGAGACAACCTATTTCATGAACATATAATATGTAATATGTTTTCATTTTTAATAATTTGAAGGAACTTACTGTAACAACAGTATGATCCACTCTTTTTCTAGACACTTCATTATTTAAGGGTATTATTGGTCTTTTAACTGTAGTTGTGGTAGTAAATAAATCGTTAATTGGTTGTACAACAAAAAATTGAGCTGTAATCAAATTATTTACATGATAAATTTTAACATACTGATTAACTGCATTTTGATGATAGTTTTGTATTAATATATTTTACTTTTGAATAAGTGCTTTATTTAGCTATTATATTATTATTACTATTTTAACTATATTGGAACTATATATATATATATATATAGATACAATACCTTCCAGGATAATTAAACAAACATAAAAACATTCATGTAATAAATAGATTACAATATTTTTAAATTTTATTTGTAATAATTTAAATGTATGCAATTCACATTTAAAAAAATTTAGTTTTTTAATCTATAGGTATACTTTTATATTTCAATACAATATTTGATATATTATGTATAATACTTACTAGCATTATTATTTGGTCTTAACTCATATTGTGTAATGTTTGCATCATTTGCTTTGCTCATGACAATTCCTGTAACATTACCATTTTCAATTACAGCAGCAGTAGGTTGTTCATCAGCTGATTCAAGGGATCCATCATCATCAGTAACAATCAAAGTTTGTGTACCGAGAATATTTGAATCCAGCTTAATAAGTTGACCATTGTTTGAAATTTTATATGTATTACTTTAAAACAAATCAAAAAAATTATTTTACTAAACATTTAAAAAATTCTAAAAAGTTTTCATAAAAGAAAAATTAATTTTATTTATTTAAGAAATATACTAAACAAATTTTACCCAACATTTAGCGAATCATTATCAGATATTTTAATGGACATAATTATTTCAAATGAAATTCAATAACATCTACTAAATAAATAAAAAATGAAAATATATTAAATAATGCAATGGATTAGACATGAAATAATTTAATATAACACTTCTTTTCAAAAATATGTTTTAACATACATACCTTTATATCTAAACATTATGCTTATTATTAGTTGATATGAAATCACAAACATTTTGTGATCACACCACATGGAATGTCATCATGGAAGAATAAAAATACATACACGAACCATTGAGCTTCTAATAGGTTAAAAGTGTTGATAGCATTGGTTTTATATATACTGTATCTGGAAAAAAACCCTATGGTTATTGATTTTAACGGTAAATCTTGAGTGGAGTGAACGTCATATTTTAATCCAAAAACCATAGTAATGTATGGCTATTTATTTATAGATTTTATCAACAGTATAGACACTATAATATATAAGGCCAGGAGACATCCGTAAAGATGAACCAAAGGATATGCCCCAACGGGTTAAAAAAATGGGAATATTCCTCTGAGGGACAATTCCCCCCATTGTAAAATAATTTGATCACCATTGAGCTGCACAATATTTCTGTTGCATTGCAAGCATATTTTTTTATTGCCACAACCTATTTTGCAGTTGCATCGATTGAACCCTTGATGACTAGCTATTGCTTGTCCTGCGGCTTCACGTAAAGTTATTTTTCTAACTTTAATTTTTTTACATCTAGGTCTTTATATTTTTCTTTATGTGAGGAAATGTGTGTTCTTGATAATTTATGTTACAATGCGCCATATTCTATTTCAAACATTCTGGTACTTATTTCATTCAAAATTAAATAAAAATTATCAACTCAAAATTTATTTTCATAATTTATACGAGTCATCTTCACACAAAAATAATAATAGATAATGATCTACATTCGTCGTGATATTTTTAACTCTCAAAGTTATGTTGAGTACCTCTATACACAGTGTCAGTCTGGCTCATGTTTGGGCCTTCGGCAAGAAAATTTAAAATGGGCCCCTTAAAAACATAATATTGGAGGAGATTTAATAATAATACATAGTAATACATACTAAAAATTTTTCTAGCTAAATTTGAAGTCTACTACAAATTTTAATTTTTTTGTGATTTTATATTTCTTCTAATCAAATATTATCGAATTATCATTGTATTAGTGTATGTGACCATTAAAAACATTCATCCAAATTTTTCTAAGTATTTAAATTTGTTCGATTCTGATCAAAAGAACAAAAATGTATAAATTAGCGGTTATACCTAGTTCTATTAAATAGCGTCAATAATATTTCAAGATTAAGTTAAGAATAACACAATTTTAATTTAATTCAGGAAAATAATTACTTACTATGATTTTTCATGTTAGCATGGTTGCTTTGATCTCAGGTGCAGATTTCAGAAAGATTCATTAGGTCAGCTGACCCAAAATTAATATTGGTTGATAAAATTGGCCTCTTGAAGACTTCTTATATTTTTTAAGTATGTTGACTATAGGTTGAAGTTAAAACTAAACTGGCAAATGCCCCAATTTCCACTCCCTCCCTCCAATGATACTTTTGGTTTAATTGTATAGTAAAATATAACATCTCTATGCCAGATCCCATAAATTAAGATAAATGTTTACAATGATAAATATGAATAAACTTAAAAAACAAATATTATAAGATCATATTGTTCTTTGCTACAAGAAATACATTTCTAATCCACTTTCTAATAAGTGGTCTTTTGAAATAACCTGATCCACAGTTCTCTAACTGTGGATCCACTCCTGGTTGAGCCCTTATTTCAAGAATAAATCTCAGGACACCAGCGATTTCCGGGTATCCAGGTGGGCCAGACCGACACAGAGTAGGGGTCGCCAACCAGTCGATGTCTCTAGGAATATAGGTCGTTATAAAAATTAATTTTATCAAAATAGGTTGATCCTATAATAAATAATCGAATAATGGAAATATTAGATTATTATTATTGTGAAGGAACAATATATATGTAAGCTTAGACCTTACTTTTTTTTTTGTTCATTAAACAAATCTCTTCCTAAAGACCTAAATTCTCCAAATTGTTGATCACCAGGGACTTAAAATTTCAAATGTAGCTCACTTGTTTGAAAATGTTGACGACCCCCAGTATAGAGCATATTAAAAATTTATAATTTATAAAATCCTTTAGATTCATAAATAGTATTAATAAATTTAAAATATGTTCTATATTTCAAATGCAAGAGTAAGTACACAAATAAAAACCAATAAAGTAAAAAGATTACTTATATTATTAGTTGATTGTTTCATTTACTACATAAAACATAGAAATAAAAATATTTATTTTTTTGTAAATAGTTGAATAAATTATGTTTATTTATTCATAAATAATGAAGTGGAGTTCTTTTGAATCAAACTATAATGTAAAGGAATATTAAAACTATTTAAGGATATTATAAACGCGTAGATGTCCACATTTATTTTTACCAAAAATATTTAATGGAATGAAAGATTAACAAATAATACACGTATGAAATAATACATAAATATCAAATAGGATAATAAAATACCATATATTAAAATATCCATTCATAAAAAACTAATAAAAACCAACAGATTATCACCAAATTACAAAAAAAAATTAAAGATTTCAAATAGACATAAATTAAGTTATTAATATGATACTGTTTAAATGTAAGTTATGTATAGCAATAAATACTTTCATTTCATAAGAGCAGCAACTACTGATTTAGCATTCAATGACTTGAGATCTGTATAAGTTTGACCAGTTCCCACAAATACTATTGGCTGACCTGTGATGTATGTCATTGAAATAGCAGCTCCTACCTATAAGTAGTAATTAATTTAAGAATGAAATGTAAATAATTCTATATAAATTTGATCCATTAGCATACACTTAATCTTATAGCCATAACAAATAGTTATACATATACAAATACATATATTTAGAAAAAATATTTCAACCTACCTTATCATCAATAGTGTCAAATTTTGTCAATACAATTCCATCAATTAAATGCGGAGTCACTGAAGAGGAATAATCAGCTAAGGCTTGATTAAATTTTACTAGCTGATCAACAGCTTCATTGCCAACTAATGCTTCACCAACAAATAAAACCATATCAGGTTCATTTACTTTGATTAACTAAAAATTACAACAAAATTTCAGTTTTATTATTGATTTTATTCTCTGCCTGAATATTCACATATATAATCATTGATTATCAATTATATAATGTTATATGATAAAACACAGATCATTTTTATAAATTAAAATAATTACTTTGGTTAAAGCTCGCATTAATGGTTCATTATCTTGCATTCTACCAGCTGTATCTACAAGAACCACATCATACTTGGCTTCCTTGGCATAATTGATTGCTTCCATAGCAATTCCAGCTGCATCTTTTCCTGTAATCACCAGAAAATTATAAATTAAATTCTGGGAGGAACAAGTAATATTTAATATATAATGCAGTATAAATATCATCATAAATTGAACAGAAAATGTTTATACAATTATAAACTGTTACCAATCAATCTATTAATAAATATTAAATTATAATTGTAATATTCTTTTATTATTCAACTCATTTGATTTCTATAAACAAATATGTTTATTAAGTAAGTTTTATTAATGCTAACCATATCCCTTTTCGTATAATTGTACCATTTGTTGATCATTATGTTTTTTTGCAGGATGAAGTGCATTTAGATGTTTAGTGTGAGTTCTTAATTGTTCAACAGCACCAGCTCTGAATGTATCACAAGCTGCGATTAATACTCTCAAATTATTTTCAATCAACCAAAAGCAAATCTAAAATAAATATGAATATATTAAAATATTTTATACCTATTTTAAAACGACATAAAAAGTGTCTATGATAATATAAAAAGGAATCAACATACTTTTGCAAGATTTGTAGACTTTCCCACACCATTTACTCCACAAAAAGCCATTACATAAGGCTTTTCATTTTTCTTTGCCATTATTGCGTCTCGTAATATATCTATCCTACGTTTTGGTGATAAAATCTGTACTAGAGATTCAACCATAGTATTCTTTACAGTTGTTGCTACTGATTCAAATGAACCAAGAACCTAAAACAGGATTTTTAAAAAATAGGCTTATTTAAATAATATTTGTATTCTAAAATAATATTTTACCTTTCCTTCAAGTTTAGAAGAAACAGAGTCACAAAGTTTAGTGGCTATTTCAATAGCTACATTTTTTGCTACTAAATGTTCTTTAAGTTTTTCCAATACTGGATCCATATCAGCTGCGGTCAAATTTTTTTTTCCAACCAAGCCCCTAAAAATTTGAATCAATATGAATTAAAACATATTTACAGTAATAGAAAAATCAATTATTTACTTGAATAAAGAAAATACACTTCTTTTACTATCACTTTTTTGTTTACGTTCAGCAGCAGTTTCAAATTTTTCATTAGAATCTTCCTCATCACTCTCACTATCAATTTCTATATCCTTAATTCCACCAACCATTTTTCCAACAATCTGAGAACATATTTCAATGAATAAATATTATTTTAAACTTATTATATTTAAAATCAAATCCAAAATAGGTAAACATTATTTACTTCATTGTTTGTTTCTATTTCAATTGGGCTATCAGCATTATTATTTGGCTTATCTTTAGTGTAATCTAAAGTGCTTATATCTTTTATACTTCCACCTAATGGCCAGGTACGAGGTTGTTTAGTTGCTTTGGGAGAAGGTTTTGGTACCTTCCTAAATAAATTTAATTATTAAAGAAAATGTATAAAATTTTAATAATTACATAAATATAATAATATACAATACTAACTCTTTATTTTTTTTCAATTTATTAGAATTTATAGTACCCATTTTTTGAGCCATTTTTAATCGGTTTTGGGTGATTATATCTTCTTCGTTAAATGAAATATCACTATGGTTAATTTCTTTATCATTTTTTTGAGTTTCTGTTATTTTCACTAGGTAATGGATATTTATAAATTATAGACTTACCTATTACTTTTAAATAAATTTATATAAATAAATATAATACAAATTTTAACTTACCATTTTTTTTATTTTCTTTATCATCTCCTTTTCGTTCAATCATAGATGCTATAGTTTTTTTTGATTTTATAGATTCATTAAATGTACGCATTTGCTTTGGAATACAAGCTTGAACCCTTCCCCACTCTTCAGCAGATTTAAGAACTTCTTGGAAATTTTTACTAAATTCAAATTCCTAAATACAAATCAAATAATAAATAAGTTATTTTGAATGGAATTAATAACAACTATACCATAAAATAATTTTTCCGAGCCAAGTCATTTTTATATTTGTCTCTGAATTCCAAATGTATGTCGTCCAAAAATTTATCTACGTACGATAGTTGCAGTATTTTTTGAAATGCTATCACAAACACCAAATCAAATTCATTATCCAATCTATATTTTAATGATAAAGAATCTTGCTCATAATTGTTATTACTACTTGTTCTTTCCTGTAATAAGTCATAATATTTATATTCCTATTTTTGATTTATAATACTTAAACTTATGGCACATAACATTATAAATGATCAATATTTATTTAATTATGATATAGTTATTGTAGAAAATGTTAGAATTGGTGAAAAGTATGAATTTAAATAATTATATATTTCTATAGTTATAATAATTATTTTATTCCTAAGAATTTAATTAATTTGAAGAGCCATTAATAATATAAAATTTAGTACAATTATTCTTTAGAATAATATTCAATAATTGAAATATAATACAATAAAAGTAACTATTCATGTTTGTAATAATAAGCACTTGTTATTTACCTGAAGAATAACAGTTTTAATCAACGAATTAACTGAGGGTACAAAGAACTGAGTAATTTGACTGGTGCTTTGGAAGCACCAAAGGACAATGCCTCCTTTGCTGAATATTGTAAAAAGATCCAACATTTTAAATACAATTAACAATAGTTATAAATTAAAGAATATATTTCATCACAGACAAGAGTTGTACAAAAAGTATTTTACACTAACAAATTACGATATACTCATATTTATCACATATATTAATTTACTGTTCACGTAATCAATTTCACTTGAAAAACAGCTGATAGCGTTTACATTTTTAGTATGAAACGTGTAATTACCGGTAGTTACCAATTTCGTGGTATTATTTTAGTATACTTTCAAACACAGATATCTGTATTATACTAGATGACGAACTTCCGATATCACTTGAAGCACGCATTGATTATGTTATCATTTGTCCGCCATGTTTTGGGTTTGCAAAATATTGTATCAACACTATTCCCCACACATCACAATATTAATTATACACTATTTAGTAATTAATATTTATTAAATATGCCTGTTTCTTATGTTGCATACGGTTGTTCAAATCGCTTTAAAAGTAATTCCTCAATTCACTTTTTTCGGTACGTATGAAGTATAGATAATATAATTTAAAAACACCTCAACATTTACATTTTTAATTGCAACGTATATTCTGTACATTCTCTGTATCTGTATATTCTCAATTAGCTGAAACATTCCAGCCTCATTCGTGCACCGATCCCGAAAACGACACAATTATTGAAATTCAACAATTTCTATCAGCTTCGCTACCTATGTCGCTACCTGCAAAACCCATCTTTCCTGGTGAAATTCAGTATATAATTAAAAAATTACCTCCCGGCAAGGCACCTGGAAATGACCTCATTACAAACAAAATTCTGAAAAATCTGTCTCTCAAAACTATATCATCGCTCACCCACATATACAGGGCTCGAAACTTTATGCGCTAAAAAACCATGAAATATGTGCATACGTATGCACCAAAAAAAAACCAAAATATGCAGTATCATATGCATTTATTATTTTATAAAAGATGTATTTAAAAGCATAATTAATAATTATAGAAACAAAATTTTTTTTTTATTTTATTTGTATTTTTCTTTTGATAATGAAGCTGTTCTACGCTGGATCTATTCCCAGAGTCCTAAATTTAAAAAAAATAGAATTTATCAAATACAGCAATTATTAAATCATGTTAGGTATTCATTGTTATATTTACCTGAATTACACTGAATGATAAGATACTTTTTTATGTTTTCAAGTTTAAATGATCGTCTGTTTTGGCTCAGAAGGTTTTTGTAAACAGAAAATGATCTTTTGACATCCACTGACGTAATTGGTGCGTACTTGTAGAAAATAAGGTCATTTGTTGACAGATCTTCGGGAAGACCATCCATGGTGAAGATAGATCCACTAAGTATTGACGAGATTTGTTTTAATGTTTTTAATCCGATATTTTTAGACAAAACATTTTCCATTTTTTCATAGACTTTTTTCCCTGGTTCACCTTGAACGGATATTTATTGTGTTTGAACATTGTCCATGATACTCAACGATTCAGCTAAAGGCATGTTTTTTGTCTGCAGTTTCAAAATTGATCCAGAAAGAACTTTAAAATTTGAAGTAATATACATCAAATTATTTTGAACGTGTTCTTTTACCAAATTTTTTTTTGAAACTAATACTTAAAGCATTATTGGAGTCCAACATATTTATAGCATCACGAACTTTTTTGTAATATTTACAATAATGAAGTACAGCATTGATCCAAGTACCCCATCAGGTTATAATTGGTTCTGGAGGTAAAGGGATATCCGGTGCGTAATTTTTTAAAATTTATATGCGTGATGGTGCTTTTTAAATATTTTTTTTACATTAGCTACAATTTTATCAACAGTACCAAATTGATTTCGTACTTCCTTCGAAACTCTATGGAGGCCATGAGCAGCACAAGTCACATGTACCATTTTAGAGTAGAGAGCATTCAGAGATTTTCTACACTTTACTATATACGGCGCAGCGTCGGACAAAAATAATAAAACGTCGTGTCTTATCCCATCAGGCCATAAAATGCTTAAAGATTTGTCAAAAAGTTTAGAAACTGTAGAGTGATTGGTCTTTTCTAGTGCTTCAGTATTCAGTAAAAAAATTGGACCAGCAGTATCCTCTTCTAAAGTCCCTATTATTACATTA